AGAGCAGAGGCTGTGTGTGTGTGTCTGTGTGTGTGTGTGTGTGTCTGTGTGTGTGTGTGTGTGTGTGTGTGTGTGTCTGTGTGTGTGTCTGTGTGTGTGTCTGTGTGTGTCTGTGTGTGTGTGTAGGACAACATGAAGAATAAAAAATAATTTTTCTCTGTGGTCAGGTCTAGTCCTGGTCTGTAGAGTATCTGTGATGTCACTTCCTCTCTGTGGTTTCACTTCTTGTGACAATGCCCCTTAGTAACACAACATGTTCTTTAATATGCCAAATGTAAAGAAGCTCGTTCTGATTTATCACCACACTTTTCATTAGAGACAAGGCCCCGTTTAGATGGAGACGCAGCGGAGACGCTGCGGAGACGCTGCAAAGCAATTCGCAAAAATGACCAGGCTCCATATTTAAGCGGAGAGCGTCTTCACAACGACGGAAAACTATGTTGTTCTAGCGCCCGGCCAGTAGTGGGCAGTGGTTACAACATTTTACACAACTCCACTGCCCATTTAATTATCATTCTACATTTCACAGCAGCTGCAAAAATGGAAACTGAAACTTCACATGGTTTTGTTTGAACAACAAAGGAATAGAATTTCTCCTCCATGTAGCGCCCGACACGCATGTAGCATTTAGATGGCCGCCGCCATTGCTGTTCCGTTTGCTCTGGGCAAAGAATTGAATGTGAAATATGAAATCAGCTCTTTAGCGCCCCCTAAAGAGTGAGCCAATGTTTTACATGGGGATCCTAATCAACTGATCATATTCATTACAATTTTGAAAACATTGTTCAATGGTTACTGGAGCAAATAATGGCGCGGCGGCACCACCTCCTTTGCGCGGTGCGGCGAGGGCCGTAAAACGCTGCTTGCGGCTTCAATAATTTATTCTATTTATTCTGATCCACTGTTTCTGCCTTGTCTCCATTATGTGATCTGGTCACATGTTGATGGTTTGAGGTTTTCCTGTATTGCTTTGTCCTTGGTTGATCTTCTGGTGTCTCTCTCTCTTTGGTCTCTCTCATTGGTCTAGGTGGGGTTGTGTGTGTGTGAGGAGGTTATTATGGGCGTTGTCTGTAAACAGCCTCAAGGTAAATTCCTAAAAAGACAATAACCCACTGCCCCCAATGCAAACACTGCTGTTGTTATTCGCTCAGACCTGTCTCCCCTCCACAGAGGGAACCATGGGACAAGTGAACGATTGAGAACAGACTCTCGCTGGTCTCTCTTGTCTCTCTCTCTATGGAAGATTTTATGTGTCGTCAGATTTTGCATTTTTTTAGCTTGAATTTTTCCGTTTGAAATTTTTAACCCTGAAAAAGCAAGTTTGAATATTTTTATCTTTACTTTTCAGTCACTAAAAATTCAGTTTACAAATTTAAATGTGATTAAAATTTCAAAATGACATATTCACCCTCAAAATATTCAATATATTTTTTTTTTCAATGTAAAAAAAACAGATTATTTGTTCCATCAGAAATTGAATTTTAAATGGACCTGAATTCATCTATTTGAATGTTTTTAACATCTTGAATATTTTTTTCTGTGAATTTCAGTCACTGATTATCAATTTCATAATGTCAAATTCAACGAGAAAAAATTCAATGGTGAAAAATGTACATGACACATCCGGTGTTCTGACGAGTTATGTGCTCTGTCAGTTGGTCTGCGCATGCGTCATTTTACTGAGGTAAAGGCCCAGTCCCAATACATAGTTCCCACATGACGTCACTACATACAGGGATTTGCCGACCCGGCGCCATTTGTGTTGGCATTCTGTGGGCAAAACAATAGAAAAAGAAGCTGAAACGTGTTAATGTCGTGATAAAGTTGAAAATGGTCATCTCCTGCTGGGTCAATGGATGTTCAAATCGTGCCGGAGGTTCCGTTAAACTTGGATTTTACAGTATACCCATCATTAGACTTCATGAATGTGAGAAGACTTAGCTTTTGTCAGAACAACCACGGAGGTTATGGCTTGCGAAGATAAACAGGCAAGAAACTCCCTCAAAACACGCAAGAATATGCTCGGAGCACTTTGTGTCAGGTGCGTATCGTATCTTATAATGTGTTGACAGACGTAATTTACTCAGTACTAACTTGTGTATGCTGATATCTGGTAACTTGAGAGTTTCATTATTTAGATTACTTTATTATGAGGAGGATCGGTGTCGCGTCCGAGGCTCTCGAGGGCAACGTAAATGTATTAAATAGATAATAATAGTTCTATGGTGGGCTAAAACAATATTCACAAACAGCATTGCTTCTGTAAAAAGATCTGTGTCATAAAATAAACTGCTCTTTACGCCTGGAAAAATCAGTTGCCCACCATTCACCAAAACATACGGTCAAAAACGCGGAAATAAACAATAACAGCAATCCAGAGTGTCCGTGTGGCATTAGCATTAATTAAATTAATTGTTAATATAATTAAAATAATTAAATGGAGCTCCAACTGGTATTAAATCTAAAGTTTTTGAGAAATGTTTGCATTGCTTGTTAATTTTTGCTGCATAATTTGATCAAATATGTAAAACATGTCCGTAGCACGTTAAACTGTGGTGCCATTGTATTAATATACAATTATTTGCTCAAAAGTTGCCCTTTTTTTCCAATTTGCGTTTGAATATCTACATTTATTCTCATTCTTCTGTTTAATGGAATGCACAAACACAGCAGCGTGCCATCAAAGATGGCGTCTCCGAGGAGGTCATGTGACATTCATTGGTCTGTGGGAACTATGTATACCCACACTGCACCCTACACACCTCTACGAAGTGTGCATTTGTTCGAAGTGCACACCAGGGTTGGAGTGCGCAGGTTACAAGTGTGCAAAAAAGGCAGAATTGGGACAGTGCACACTGAGTGCAGGTTACGTCATCGACTCGTCAAGAGATGGTCATTTTCAGACCTAAACTTTATAAACATTAAAGGTAATTTTGTCTGACCCTTTGGGAAACAAAATGAATTGCTTCACACACGTTAAAATACATGTATATTAGTTGTTTTTAATTAGAGATAGCTGTATAATTTTAAGTTAAATGTGGGTAACTAACTATCTGGTCAGTTTTTATACATTCTAAGATTATTGTACTAAGTGTAAAGTTTAAATTGAATGTTATATAAACGCTTGTTTTAAAAAGTTATTAAATTGTTAAAACACAATGTCCGTAATTCTTCATCAGACGTTTATGCTTCTTTCCAAGTAACATAGCAAAACTTATTTACACACATACTGCATATATATTTCAAAATTTATATTTAAATGCATTTTCCCGACGTTTTGATGTGTACCGCAAAGAATTATGGGCAATATCCTTCGCCAGAGTGCGCATAGATGCAGACTACGGCGAAGTGTGGATCAGGGGCGCAAAGGGGGCGGGGCCAAAGACCTTTTTTTTTTTTTTTCTTTATTGAACAAATCAAACAGGCTTAAATATTTAGTACAATCTCAGTTTCGTGCCGTATAAAAACAAAAAACACAAACAAAAGAACAAATTAAGAACGTAGAAAGCCACATTACTGAGTCACAAGGGTCAGAGGTAAATTCACAATATTTTTGTACAACCGAATTGCTTTCGTTGAATTACAAAGCTTCAAAGAGTCCCTAACGATTGACAGTTCGCTCAGAAATATCCATATATTTCCATATTTCCATGTAAAGGAATTAACAAAAAACATGTATTCCACAGCTTGAACTCTTGTACACTAAATTATATTTGCTGAGTTGTCTCTGAAATAAAGTAACAACGGTAAGAACACCGTATGGCTGCTTATTTCTTGAGCTGTGAAAAGTTACGTGCTCTTTCGGCTCCACTCGCTCCGTAAACAAAGAAAATCCTCTCTCTTTCTCTCTCTTTCTTAAAGTGACGGTAACGTAAATATTCTAAGTTAACAAAATCTCCATTAGTTCTAAAGGGTCTAATGTAGATAACGAGAGATTCCAACGTCAGTGAAGAGAAAACAGAGTTCATTATGCGCAGACCAACTGACAGACCAACTGACAGAGCACATAACTCGTCAGAACACCGGATGTGTCATGTGCATTTTTCACCATTGAATTTTTTCTCGTTGAATTTTGACTGTTGAATTTAACATTATGAAATTGATAGTCAGTGACTGAAATTTACAGAAAAAAATATTCAAGATGTTAAAAACGTTCAAATAGATGAATTCAGGTCCATTTAAAATTCAATTTCTGATGGAACAATTAATCCGTCTTTTTTTTTTTCATTGAATACATTTTTTTTGAATATTTTGAGGGTGAATATGTCATTTTGAAATTTTAATCACATTGAAATTTGTAAACTGAAATGTAAAGATAAAAATATTCAAACTTGCTTTTTCAGGGTTAAACATTTCAAACTGAAGAATTCAAGCTAAAAAAATTCAAAATCTGATGACACAAAAAATCTTCCATATCTCTCTCTCTCTCTCTCTCTCTGGTAATACTGCTAATTTGACAATAATCACCTTTTGCTTTCACTTCAGTTGTTACTTGTCTGTGTGAGTCCTGTCTCTGTCCTGAAGTCCTCTCACATTAGTCCTGGTCTCAGGTCTCTGTCCTGAAGTCCTCTCACATTAGTCCTGGTCTCAGGTCTCTGTCCTGAAGTCCTCTCACATTAGTCCTGGTCTCAAGTCTCTGTCCTGAAGTCCTCTCACATTAGTCCTGGTCTCAGGTCTCTGTCCTGAAGTCCTCTCACATTAGTCCTGGTCTCAGGTCTCTGTCCTGAAGTCTTCTCACATTAGTCCTGGTCTCAGGTCTCTGTCCTGAAGTCCTCTCACATTAGTCCTGGTCTCAGGTCTCTGGGTCAGTGCTGCCCTCTGCTGGCAGATGCTTTATATGCAGCGACTACAGACTGTGTTCAACTATTACACAATATTTGTATCTTTTGAAATAATATCCACACTCATGGTTTAGAATGTGAACTAATATCTGCAGGAAACACCATTTGTGAAAAACTATAAAGGTCAACTCTCCTGAAAGCTGAAAACTCGTTTTCACCAGGGAGAGCCCAGAGAAAGACCAGAGACAGAGACCAGAGATAAGCCAGGGAGAGACAAGAGAGAGAGACCAGAGAGAAACCAGGGAGAGAGACCAGAGAGAGAGACCAGAGAGAAACCAGGGAGAGACCAGGGAAAGACTAGGGAGAGACCAGAGATAGAGTGTGTGTTTGTGTGTGTTTTATTTCATTTAAAAAATAAAAGGATTGAGAAAATCTGGTCCTCATCAGAAACATTGACTCCTCCTCCACACCATCTAAATCCAGATCCTGACAGGTCTCTGCAGCTAAGCAGGGTAGAACCTGGTTAGTACTGTGATGGGAGACATGTAGTTGTGTCCTTAGGCAAGACACTTTATAATGAGTCTGGTGTGTGTGTGAGTGAGAATGGTTGTTGGTGGTGGGATGGGCTAATGGCACAGACTGGTTGTCGGTTTGTTTCGGTCCGAAGGCAGCTGTGGCTGCAGTAGTAGTTTATGTTGGTGGTGTGTGGTGACTTATGGTGAGGTCTGCAGTGATGTTGTGAGAGGAGGAGCCTCCAGGAAGTCTTAAGTCAAACCCATTAGACCTAATCAGGATCAGGGATAAGTGGATTAGAAGTGACCCAGAGTGGAGACCAGGGAGAAGACTAGGTGAGACCAGAGGAGCCCAGAGGAGTCCAGAGGAGCCCAGGGGAGCCCAGAGGAGCCCAGAGGAGCATAGAGAGGATCTGCATGTAACCTTCAAACAATCAAACCTGAGTGGACTTACTTCAGAGTGGCGTGCTGGACAGTCAGGTGTGTGATGTTCCTCTCTGTACCCAGACCCTGGTGCCACGACTCGGTGAGTAACAAACCACAGAACAATAATATCTATCCACCCTATATACAGTAATGTGTGTCATTAGTTCAAAGCTTTAAAATGTCCCCAAAACTCACAAAGGTTTTTTATGTAATGAACTCCAGGGCCATACACCAACATACTTACTACCAGAAAGACGTCCTCTTAGTTCAAGAAAACAGAATGAAAATACAAACCAAATACATGAGGAAAGATGAGCTCTGGTCTGAGGGACAAGGAGACATAATCCCCTTTAACTCTCATCTCTTAATCTGCAGCTCATATTGTGATCTGGACCTATCTCCAAACCCTGCTCCAGCCTGGGAAAAGACCTCTCCAGACCCATAGAACCAGGTCCTGCCTGGGAGAAGACCTCTCCAGACCCTTAGACCCCCAGGTCTTGACTGGGTAAATCCCTCACCATGCCGCTCATGCCAGTGAAGTTCAACCTGCAGAAGCGGGTGAAGCTGGCCCAGGGGCTGTGGATGCTCTACTGGGTCTCTGTGATGGTGGGCATCCTGATTTTCAGCCTGGGAATCTTCTTCAAAGTGGAGTTGAGGAAGAGGAGTGAGATGATGGACAATAACGAGAGCCACCTGGTTCCCAACGTGCTGATCCTGGCCGGGCTGCTGACCTGCGCCCTCAACGCCTTCGGGGGAAAGGTGTGCCACGACTCTCTGGACCCCATGAAGTTCACAAAGTGGAAGCCCGTGCTGAAGAACTACTTTATGGGCTGCCTGCTGTTCCAGGCACTGCTCCTGGTGGTGGCGCTGTTGTGCTTCCTCATGCAGTTCTCCGTGTACCTGACGCTTGCGGACGGCCTGAAGAATAGTATCCGCTTCTACAAAGACACTGACACGCCCGGACGCTGCTTCATGAAGAGGACGCTGGACATGACGCAGATCGAATTTCGCTGCTGCGGAAACAACAACTTCAGAGACTGGTTCGAAGTTCAGTGGATCAGCAACCGCTACCTGGACATGAGCAACGAGGACGTCAAAGAGTGAGTAGGACCAGACTAAAGCAGGTCTAAAGCAAGTCTAAAGCAGGTCTAAAGCCGGTCTAAAGCAGGTCTAAAGCAGGTCTAAAGCAGGACTAAAGCAGGTCTAAAGCAGGTCTAAAGCAGGACTAAACCAGGACTAAAGCAGGTCTAAAGCAGGTTAAACAGACAACTGTGAAGTAAAAGCAATAATTTGGTAGATTTGCAGTGATCTCTTTTCTCAATAATGGATTGTTTCATGTGGTGAAATGATAGAGGACCCAAAATGTAGGAATGCAAAAAATAATGATTTAATAAAATGAATGTTCAGGTGAAAACAAAACTCAAAATACAGAATACGAAACCAGGAACACAAAATCAGGCACAGGACGGAACGGAAGTTGACAATACAATGGACCAGCAACAAGAGGAGAGGAGCACAGGGTACATATAGACACAGAGAGACACAGGTGAAACACATTAGGGCGGGGCAGACAAATCAAGAGAGGGGAAACGGGACCCCCGGAAGTGGTTGTATAACTTAACCCTGACCAGAACTCCCCAGTGTGCTCCTTGTAACATATTCAATTACTAAGTTACCGGAAAAGTAAAAACGTTACGGACCACTGCTGGTCTAGAGTGTGTCCTCTGTTCTGAGTCAGGTCTACAGTGTGTCCTCCGTTGTGGGTCAGGTCTAAAGTGTCTCCTCTGTTGTAGATCAGGTCTACAGTGTGTACTCTAGTGTTGAGTCCAGCAAAACCGGTACATGTGCCGAGCTCATAGAGCGAAGCCCCGTATAGGCAGGTGACCGATGTGGCTGCAGTCTCGCTTGTCACAGACGTGCCAAACTAAAAGGTACCGCATCTGCAAGTGTCAACGGGATAATTTACTGTCAGAAAAAGGAAAATAACCCTTCAACATCATTTAAACAGAGTCCGCCACAAATATTGTGTGGAATCATTTTGACTTGTTAACAGCAAATAAGGAAACTGTATTTAATTTTTCACGCTTTATCTTTAACCAGAATTTCATCACAAAAAACAAATACTGCATTTGTTTCATAGAAATAGCAAATATGAATAAAAGTACCTCACTGCTTAGGCGTTTCAGGACAAAGCATGAGCAAGATCTGTGCCTTGTGAGCATTCTTAAAAAATCACAATAGACTTTGGAAACACACATTCACAACTTTCACATGTCAAATGATAGCACAGAAAATATAAAAACAAAAATACTGTGTATTAAAATAGGTATAGGTCATTGAATCAGTGTGTCTTGTGCGTCCCAACAAAGTTGCGCGCAATGATGTATAAGATCCACCAGGTGGTATAGAGTAGCAAAGCAACACTGTATCGGCAGTGTCACTGCCGATGAGGCCTCATTTACCCATCAATGGTGTCCTCTGTTGTGGACCAGGTCTACAGTGTGTCCTCTGTTGTGGATCAGTTCTACAGTGTGTCCTCTGTTGTGGGTCAGTTCTAGAATGTGTACTCTGTTGTGGGTCAGGTCTACAGTGTGTCTTCTGTTGTGGCTCAGGTCTAAAGTGAGTCCTCTGTTGTGGATCCGGTCTACAGTTTGTCCTCTGTTGTGGGTTAGATCTACAGTGTGTCCTATGTTGTGGGTCAGGTCTACAGTGTGTCCTCTGTTGGGGATCAGGTCTAGTGTGTGTCCTCTGTTGTGGACCAGGTCAACAGTTTGTCCTCTGTTGTGGACCGGGTCGACAGTGTGTGCTCTGTTGTGGACCAGGTCTAAAGTGTGTGCTCTGTTGTGGACCAGGTCTACAGTGTGTCCTCTGCTGTAGATCAAATCTAGTGTGTGTCCTCTGTTGTGGACCAGGTCTATAGTGTGTTCTCTGCTGTGGACCAGGTCTACAGTGTGTCCTCTGCTGTGGACCAGTCTACAGTGTGTCCTCTGCTGTGGACCAGTCTACAGTGTGTCCTTTGTAGTGGATCAGGTCTACAGTGTTCCCTCTGTTGTGGATCAGGTCTACAGTGTGTCTTCTGTTGTGTGTGGGGCCACTAGTTTTGATTAATTACATAACTGAGCTGTTTTTGCCTTTTGTCATAAACGTTATCCACATTTAAAATAAAATGAATTTGTGCAGCAGTTCAGAAACCTTTACAGCTAATACTTATTTCAGTACTACTGTTGGTACCAAGCCCTGGCGATCCAAGATGGCGCCCTATTCAAATGAATGGCTGATGCTCAGTAGCGCATGGGACATGCATGGGGGCCGAGAGATTAGCTGAACCATCAGCTATTTGGACATCATCTGGTCCTCCCGGTTCTGCGCAGAGGTTGAGCTCCCGTGATGCGTAGCGCCAAATACGCGTGTGTGGCTCTCATGCACGTGCACAGAGGGGCTCGGCCACGCTTTGAACAATCAGAGCTGCTGATCAGAGCAGCGGTATAGCGGAACCAGAGCGGGATGAAATTGAGCAGAGTTTGTTGCATTAAACCGTAGATTTATAGAAAACTGAAGGATTTAAGAAGAAAGCTGAGGTCGAGCTGTTTAAGTTTACATTGAGTTCTATGGTACTTTTTTCTGGGTAGCCCACGTAAATTTAGTCTGCAGTGCCACAAGCGCCCCCTGTGCCCATGGGTGGGGCAGCTATAAGTTAGTAATACCCTATCCAGATATTATTAAAGAGCTATGATTGGTACTGGGTTAGGGTTAGAGTCAGTAATATTAGTACTACAGTATATTAGTATTAGCTTCAGTACTCTGTGGGGTAAACAAGTATTTAGTCCGGTTTTCTCAGGTCCTCACACTCCCACTTCATTTTTAAGGCCTTTGCTGATGGAAGGGATACCAGGGATCTGTGTCCTTTACATGAATCCCTGTTAAAGAAACCCACCCCCAGAGCCTGATGTTTCCACCCCCATGCAGCAGGCCTGGGTGGTGAGAGAACTGAGGTAAAGGCGGTCAGCACAGGATCAGGGGGATTTAAAGGTAAAAGTCCATAATCCTTCAGGGCGGATGACAGTTCAGCACGCTATCATGCTAATACGCAAACACTCAAGCATGTCTCACTATCTATTCTATCATGTTAGCATGGATATGATGATAGCATGCTAACACCAAAAATAGCTTTCTGTGAACATTGTATGTTAATTGTGTGTCTAAAACAGAACTAAAGCAGGTCTAGGGCAAGTCCAAAAAAGGTCTAAAGCAGATGTTGTGTTTCAGTCGCGTCCTCAGCAACGTGGAGGGAAAGTTCCTGATGGACTCGGTCCCCTTCAGTTGCTGTAACCCGGGGTCCCCGCGCCCCTGTATCCAGCACCACTTGACCAATAACTCCGCCCACTACGACTACGACCTGCGCACAGAGGAGCTGAACATCTGGACCCGCGGCTGCAGAGAGGCTCTCTTCTCTTACTTCAGCTCCATGATGAGCAGCATCGGAGCACTGGTCCTGGCCACCATTGCCCTGGAGGTGAGGGGGTGGGGGGGGGGGGGGGGGGGGGAGTCTACCTAACATGCTAACATGAGAGAGATGCTAATATGTGTTCTTCCGGGTCAGATGAGGGGGGTTTCTGTGGTTATTCGTGTCTCCGTTGCCATGGTGATCTGTGCCAGTGACTTAATTTAGATAAAGGCTTGTTAAGCAGCGGCTCGTTAGGGTACAGGGTTAAGTGAAGATTGGATTAGGATTAAGAAACGATTCAAACATTCGAAACCAGGGTGAGAGAGACGAGAGACGAGAGACCAGGACCAGGACCTGATGAGGATCATGGCCTGTGCAGAGTAGTTAAGTTTAGTGTTTGTGAGAGGCCTCATTGGGCAGTGTACATACACACTCAAACCTCTCCCCTTTCCAGTCCGCAGACCTGGCTGGGCTGAAGTACCTGACTACGGCCCTGGAGTCCATGAGCGACCCCGAGAACCCCGAGTGTGAGAGTGAGGGTTACCTCTTGGAGAAGAGCGTGAAGGAGACCGTGTGTGAAGCTCTAACCAAAATCAAATCTCTGGTCAAACCGAGTCAGGTGGCAGAGGGGGGGGAGGAGCCAGCCACCTGAGCCCCACCCAAATGCTCATATAAGGACACACAGCCAGCCAATCGCAGGAAAGGTGGGCGGGACCACTACTGCCTGCTGTAAATACGGTTTTATAACATGTACAGTGAACATAGAATATTTTATTTATATGTGTATATGTGTACATAGACAGAGGTTGCTGTAGCCTGTGGTCACCAGGGGGGGGCGCCGTTGTCACACTGTGTGGTCCAGTCTGACAGTGACGCCCCCACATGGACACTGGGCATACTGTGCATACAACGAGATGCTATATTCTTTTCTTTTGTGAGTGAAATTACAACTCCCAATGTGAAACACTGCTGAGCTCACAGCTGTAAGGAATTATGTCACAGGACAGATTCAGTATCGACTCTCTTGAGAGGAGGGGCCTGATACTGCAGTTTGCAAAAGTTGAAAACAACTTGAACATTTTGTCATGTTTACAACCACAGAGAGATCCATTTAAATGTGAAAATTGGAGCCAAACTTCACCATGTACAGTCTCTGTGTGGTTGCAATCATGACATGAAGCCATGAGTGTAGGAGACAGCGCCCCCTGTGGCCTTAGCAGGTATCTAGATTTTGTGAAGCATAATTTTGTTTTGGTCCAAATTAACAGAATAAAAATGAGTGATTTAAGTCTTTGTGTTGTTTTAGTCTGAGGTCTGTGTATGTGTGTGTTTTAATCCTTTAAGTGTTGACGCACGTCACATGACCCACAGTGAGGAGAAAAACACTCCTCACTATGGGTCATGGATGTGGGAGGGTGGTGGTAAGAGGAGGTGAGGGAGGAGGTGAGGGGGGGGAGGAGGTAAGTGAGGGAGGAGGTGAGGGAGGAGGTGAGGGGGGGAGGAGGTAAGTGAGGGAGGAGGTGAGGGAGGAGGTGAGGGGGGGGAGGAGGTAAGTGAGGGAGGAGGTGAGGGAGGAGGTGGGCCCAACAGCACTGTCCTAAAACCAAAGACAAACACACAGATGACATTTGACTTTAGAGCTCTGACCGCACTGAGCCCCCTCTGGGCGAGTCTGGCCACACTCTGGGCGAGGATCATGATGGAGGATCATGAGGGAGGATCAAACCCAGACATTGGAGGACGTCTGTTGTGTTGTTCTTTATTCACAAAGCGTTATTCACAAATGACTTAAACCAAGATGGCTGCCATAAAATATATATATAATATAACAACAACCATACATAACTAAGGAATCATTCCTCAGCTGTGGTTTATGTGAACAGCAGGAGACACACTGTGAGAAACCCGCCTGTCACCTCATGAACGGGGTCACCTCCTGGGACTGGGTCAACTCCTGGGACTGGGTCAACTCCTGGGACTGGGTCAACGCCTGGGTCGGGGTCTCCTTCTGGGACTGGGTCAACTCCTGGGACTGGGTCACCTCTGGGTCAGTTTGAAAGGTTCGAGGCTTTTATAAATCAAACTTTTATAAATTCTTCAGAAGTAACATTTTTACAGAACAAGTAACAAGTGTAGCTGAAGTAGCTGTTTTCAGACAGAGACAAAGTGTAGCTGATATAGTTAGTCGGTCAGTTAGCGTTAGCATGAGGCAGAGTTAGCGTCAACGAGGAATTCAGGGACAGTTGGGACACGTCTCGAGCCGCACGCTGAATTGGGTTCAAGTTTTCATTTTCCAAAGTTTCCATCAAACCTGAAAAATATGACAAACAAAAAGTCGTTTAGCCCCGCCTCCAAAGGGTTTAGTGCGGGTCTAAAGCACTGATGCTAAAAGACTAATACTAAAGGACTTATGCTACAGTTAGCATCAGTTAAAGTCTTTAGAATTAGAAAATGGTTCACGTTAGCTGAAGTGCTGAGCACTAGCCATACGGGTTAGCATTAGCTGGAGGGACTCACCCTGGAGGATGCGGTGGTAGGAGAAGTGCAGATACAGCAGGAACAGAAGGTGAAGAGCAGAAACTGTTCCACACAAAACCAACCGTGGAGTTCGACCCACAGTCCGAGAGACCAGGACCAGGACCTGAGAGAGACCAGACCAGGTTAGGATCAGAGACCAGAAAGACACCAGAAAGAGACCAGAGATAGAAAAGAGATGGACCAGAGATGGACCAGAGAGAGACCAGAGAGAGACCAGAGAGAGACCAGAGAGAGACCAGAGAGAGACCAGAGAGAGACCAGAGAGAGACCAGAGAGAGACCAGAGAGGGACCAGAGAGGGACCAGAGAGAGACCAGAGAGAGACCAGAGAGAGACCAGAGAGAGGCCAGTGAGAGACCAGAGAGGGACCAGAGAGGGACCAGAGAGGGACCAGAGAGGGACCAGAGAGCGACCAGAGAGGGACCAGAGAGGGACCAGAGAGAGGCCAGAGAGAGACCAGAGAGAGGCCAGAGAGGGACCAGAGAGAGACCAGAGAGAGACCAGAGAGAGACCAGAGAGAGACCAGAGAGAGACCAGAGAGGGACCAGAGAGGGACCAGAGAGGGACCAGAGAGAGACCAGAGAGAGACCAGAGAGAGGCCAGTGAGAGACCAGAGAGAGACCAGAGAGGGACCAGAGAGGGACCAGAGAGGGACCAGAGAGCGACCAGAGAGGGACCAGAGAGGGACCAGAGAGAGGCCAGAGAGAGACCAGAGAGAGGCCAGAGAGGGACCAGAGAGAGACCAGAGAGAGACCAGAGAGAGACCAGAGAGAGACCAGAGAGAGACCAGAGAGAGACCAGAGAGAGGCCAGTGAGAGACCAGAGAGAGACCAGAGAGGGACCAGAGAGGGACCAGAGAGGGACCAGAGAGGGACCAGAGAGAGACCAGAGAGAGGCCAGAGAGGGACCAGAGAGAGACCAGAGAGAGACCAGAGAGAGACCAGAGAGAGACCAGAGAGAGGCCAGAGAGAGACCAGAGAGAGACCAGAGAGAGACCAGAGAGAGACCAGAGAGAGGCCAGAGAGGGACCAGAGAGAGACCAGAGAGAGACCAGAGAGAGACCAGAGAAAGAGAGACTGTGGGAGACCAGGGAGAGACCAGTTAGACTCACCATGCGCAGTGTGGATAGTCCTCCAATCAGGAGCCAGAGGAAGAAGAACAGGAAGTGGAAGTGAATGTTGTAAGTGACGAAGAGCACGAGACAGTGTCCGAACAGACCATAGCCCTGGAGGCACCAGGTGAGCGTTAGTGATGAGAATGAGACTGTATATCAACAGTTACGATCATCTCCGAACTATAAGATGCTACTTCTTTCAAGTTAAGCTAACAGTGAATGATTAATGAAAGTTAACGTTTAATAAGTCAGGAAAGCTAGCGGTGAATGATTCGTGGAAGCTAAACGTTAACCATGAACACCAGAGGCTTATCTTCAGGTGCTTCCTAAGTTGCTGGTGTGGCTTATAGTTCAGAAAGTGAGGGACTCTGAGGAAAAGTACGTACCAGCAGAGCCAGCGTCTGCAGCATCGTGATCTGAGCGTTCACCAAATACGCCAAGAAGTAAACCAGACCAGAAACGCAGATCCAGTACCCGAAACAGGTACCGATGGCTGTGCCCATCAGAGTGCCACCAATCTGCAACACAAGAACCATCAGTAGACCAGAGAGAGACCAGAGAGAGACCAGAGAGAGACCAGAGAGAGACCAGAGAGAGACCAGAGAGAGACCAGAGAGAGACCAGAGAGAGACCAGAGAGAGACCAGAGAAAGACCAGAGAAAGACCAGAGAAAGACCAGAAAAAGACCAGAGAGAGAGACCAGAGAGAGACCTGAGAGAGACCAGAGAGAGACCAGAGAGAGACCAGAGAGAGACCAGAGAGAGACCAGAGAGAGACCAGAGAGAGAACAGAGAGAGACCAGAGAGACCCAGAGAGAGACCAGAGAGAGAACAGAGAGAGACCAGAGAGAGACCAGAGAGAGACCAGAGAGAGACCAGAGAGAGACCAGAGAGAGAACAGAGAGATCAGAGAGAGAAAGACCAGAGGGAGTCTCACGATCTGAGTGTTGGACGTCTTCATCCCCTGAAGCAAAATGGCGACTAACGTGAAGACGAGCATCAGGGGTCCATACAACTCCCCAGCCACTTTCTGTAACACAACACGCATGAGACACACACACATTCATGAGACACACAACACACATGCACAATTTACAAATGAGACACACACACGAGATACACAACACACACTCATGAAACACACACGAAACACACAACACACACAGTGACACCAGAATTTGACACAAACCTGTGGAAAGTCGACCATTCGAACAGGGACCAGGGACTCCAGCAGTCTGAGGACACACACAGGACCTGGTTTATACTGTACATCAGGGGTGCTCAATACGTCGATCGCGATCTACCAGTCGATTGCAAAGGTAGTATTGGTAGATCGCATTAAATAAATAAAAAATTACACATTCTAAACGAATATATACAAAAAACTCCGGGCAAAGTGGAGATTTTTGAAAACTCCGTTAATGCATTTGTGTGTAGACAGAGATAACCGGAGTTTTGCGTTCTCGCACGCCACAGTACCCCCCTAAATTCCTCTGATCACTGAAGCATGGATCATACTACCTTAAAAACTGTTCGCTGTGAGATGCTCGCAGCAGCAAACATCCTCCACATCAGAGAGCAACAAAGTGATCGCGAGTTACCACCAATTTTCCGGACTATGCATCCCTGGCCGATTCAATTCAGTGAAAGTCATAAGAGTAAACTCGGGTAATGATAAAAAATGTACATAGGTAATTGTGTTGTGCTATATTGGCTCATGCGGTTTTGCATGTACATAAACATACATTGTAGATATAAAGAATATTTTTTGAAATAAATATATGATTTGCATTTTTGTAGTAGGTAGATCATTTTGACTTGATCCTTTTATAAGTAGCTCGCATGCTGAAAAAGTGTGAGCACCCCTGCTGTACATGGTGCAGGACCTGGTTTAGACCTGGTGCAGGACTGACCTGGTCTGGACCTGTCTCGGCTCCACATCAAAGTATGGTCTCAGGATGTCGATGTTTGCGTAAAGGTTAAAGGCCTTGGAAGCCTGCCTCTTCCCGGCCTGCCAGACCTGCACAGAGGACACACTCAGAGACACGCACAGATGACACACACTCAGAGGACACACACTCAGAGGACACACATAGAGACACACACTCAGAGGACACACATAGAGACACACACTCAGAGGACACACATAGACACACACTCAGAGGACACACATAGACACACACTCAGAGGACATACACAGAGACACACACTCAGAGGACACACATAGAGACACACACTCAGAGGACACACATAGACACACACTCAGAGGACATACACAGAGACACACACTCAGAGGACACACAGAGTAGATGCTAAAGTTTGTGTTCTGTTCTGGTCCGGCTCGGGCCTCTGCTCGGGCCTCTGCTCGGGCCTCTGCTCGGGTCTCTGCTCGGGTCTCTGCTCGGGTCTCTGCTCGGGTCTCTGCTCGGGTCTCTGCTCGGGTCTCTGCTCGGGTCTCTGCTCGGGTCTCTGCTCGGGTCTCTGCTCGGGTCTCTGCTCGGGTCTCTGCTCGGGTCTCTGCTCGGGTCTCTGCTCGGGTCTCTGCTCGGGTCTCTGCTCGGGTCTCTGCTCGGGTCTCTGCTCGGGTCTCTGCTCGGGCCTCTGCTCGGGCCTCTGCTCGGGTCTCTCCTCGGGTCTCTGCTCGGGTCTCTGCTCGGGTCTCTGCTCGGGTCTCTGCTCGGGCCTCTGCTCGGGTCTATGCTCGGGCCTCTGCTCGGGTCTCTCCTCGGGTCTCTGCTCGGGTCTCTGCTCGGGTCTCTGCTCGGGTCTCTGCTCGGGTCTCTGCTCGGGTCTCTGCTCGGGTCTCTGCTCGGGTCTCACCTCGTCAGCCACCTGCCGGCCCAGCTGTCCTTTGAGCCCCTTCATTCCTAGAAAGTCCTGGTTGGGGTCTGGGTCTGGGTCTGGGTCTTGGTCCGGGTCTCGGTCTGGGCCTTGGTCCGGCTCCTCTTCATCCTTCAGCCTCTGGTGGATCTCACCCATGTCCTCGAAGCTGGAGCCAGAAGTGTCGTCCATGTTCTCCATGTCGATGACGGCGGACCCCCCTCCCTGCAGAAAACACATGTTGTTAGTATGTTACTATGACAGATCTATGGTGTTAGTATGTTACTATGACAGATCTATGGTGTTAGTATGTTACTATGAAGCTATGGTGTTAGTCCCGGCTGACAGACCTATGGTGTTAGAGGACTATGACAGATCATGGTGTTAGATGTTACTATGCAGATCAGATGTTACACATGACAGGTCTATGGGTTACACACACTATGACAGGATCACACATTAGAGTTACACAGGTCAGAGGTTTACACACATAGAGACACACACTCAGAGGACACACATAGACACACACTCAGAGGTTACTATAGACACATCTCAGAGGACATACACAGAGACACACACACTCAGAGGACACACATAGAGACACACACTCAGAGGACACACACTCAGAGGACATACACAGAGACACACACTCAGAGGACACACAGAGTAGATGCTAAAGTTTGTGTTCTGTTCTGGTCCGGCTCGGGCCTCTGCTCGGGCCTCTGCTCGGGTCTCTGCTCGGGTCTCTGCTCGGGTCTCTGCTCGGGTCTCTGCTCGGGTCTCTGCTCGGGTCTCTGCTCGGGTCTCTGCTCGGGTCTCTGCTCGGGTCTCTGCTCGGGTCTCTGCTCGGGTCTCTGCTCGGGTCTCTGCTCGGTCTCTGCTCGGGTCTCTGCTCGGGTCTCTGCTCGGGTCTCTGCTCGGGTCTCTGCTCGGGCCTCTGCTCGGGCCTCTGCTCGGGTCTCTCCTCGGGTCTCTGTCTGCTCGGGTCTATGCTCGGGCCTCTGCTCGGGTCTCTCCTCGGGTCTCTGCTCGGGTCTCTGCTCGGGTCTCTGCTCGGGTCTCTGCTCGGGTCTCTGCTCGGGTCTCTGCTCGGGTCTCTGCTCGGGTCTCACCTCGTCAGCCACCTGCCGGCCCAGCTGTCCTTTGAGCCCCTTCATTCCTAGAAAGTCCTGGTTGGGGTCTGGGTCTGGGTCTGGGTCTTGGTCCGGGTCTCGGTCTGGGCCTTGGTCCGGCTCCTCTTCATCCTTCAGCCTCTGGTGGATCTCACCCATGTCCTCGAAGCTGGAGCCAGAAGTGTCGTCCATGTTCTCCATGTCGATGACGGCGGACCCCCTCCCTGCAGAAAACACATGTTGTTAGTATGTTACTATGACAGATCTATGGTGTTAGTATGTTACTATGACAGATCTATGGTGTTAGTATGTTACTATGACAGGTCTATGGTGTTAGTATGTTACTATGACAGGTCTATGGTGTTAGTATGTTACTATGACAGATCTATGGTGTTAGTATGTTACTATGACAGGTCTATGGTGTTAGTATGTTACTATGACAGATCTATGGTGTTAGTATGTTACTATGACAGATCTATGGTGTTAGTATGTTACTATGACAGATCTATGGTGTTAGTATGTTACTATGACAGATCTATGGTGTTAGTATGTTACTATGACAGATCTATGGTGTTAGTATGTTACTATGACAGGTCTATGGTGTTAGTATGTTACTATGACAGATCTATGGTGTTAGTATGTTACTATGACAGATCTATGGTGTTAGTATGTTACTATGACAGATCTATGGTGTTAGTATGTTACTATGACAGGTCTATGGTGTTAGTATGTTACTATGACAGATCTATGGTGTTAGTATGTTACTATGACAGATCTATGGTGTTAGTATGTTACTATGACAGATCTATGGTGTTAGTATGTTACTATGACAGGTCTGTGGTGTTAGTATGTTACTATGACAGATCTATGGTGTTAGTATGTTACTATGACAGATCTATGGTGTTAGTATGTTACTATGACAGATCTATGGTGTATTCTAAAGTATAATTTGTTGTGCCAGAAGGATCGGTACTCGGTCTTTTCACACTCTAAATGCTGCCATCAGGAAACATTAAAAAGCATGGTATTAACTTCCACTGCTTTTAAATTTCCCCAATGTGGGACGAATAAAGGATATTTTCTTATGCAGATGACACACAGCCGATGAAAACAAAATCAGACAGATCAGTTAAAAAGTGCCTGCATAAAAGACCTAAAAACGTTGATGAAGGTCCTAGGTATATAGAATAAGAAGTGTAGACTAAAATACTTCTTCTAACATAAAAAGCCATAAATGGCATGGCTCCCTCCTACCTCCAACACGCATACCAACCAAACTGAGCACTGCGCTCGCAAAACGGAAGACGGTGGTTCTTAAAGTCTCAAAGCACTGTCGGCGGCAGAGCATTTAGCTCCAAGCTCCTTTACTGTAGAATCAGCTTCACATCCACGTTAAAGAAGCAGACACGGTCTCTACATTCAAGGCCAGGCTTAAAACAGTCCTCTTTAAATAGCAAATGGTTAGGAAGGTAAAACTCAGGGAAGACTAAAAATCTTAGATTGTGAGTCAAGCTGCAGATGGAGTCAGTTTGCTGGGAGAGGTATGGTAACTTGAGCACTATCCTCTCCTCTTTCTTACTTTATCTGCATTATTAGGATTGACCGTAGTCTGTTCACTGCTATTTACCCAATGTCCCATTTTCTGTTTCATGGCGCGACGATGGGACTCCTGAATCCACCCCCATCCATCTACACCTGTGGACTACCCTGTCCACCTCAACTCGAGGGAAAACCCCCTCCCCCCTGCTTCAGTCCTGCACTGCACCTGTCTTCGTTACAGGGTCTTTCTGAGTGGAGTTTGCATGTTCTCCCCGTGCCTGCTCTAGTTTCATCGAGGTGCTCCGGTTTCCCCTACCACTAAAAACATGTGCACTAGGTAAAATCCTCCAGCTCTGGTCCTGACCAAGCTGAACATCAACATCTGCGGATGGGTTCCTGGGCGCTGTTACTACGGAGACCACTTCTCCTGACGTAAGCCTTAGTGGGATCAGGATGGGTCAAATGCAGAGGATGAATTGCCCTACGGGGATTAATAAAAGTGCACCTTAACCTTTACTATGAATGAATAATTTATTTCAAGCATTAGCATAAAACAATAACAAAAATTATATTAATCACAAACTTGTGGTATCCTAAACATTATGGTAAACAATATACATTAATACATGTTTCTTTAGTATTAGTATGCTACTATTACAGATCTATGGTGGTGTTATTCTGTTTCTATGACAGATCTATGGTGTTAGCATGCTACTATGACAGATCTATGGTGTTAGCATGCTACTATGACAGATCTATGGTGTTAGCATGCTACTATGACAGATCTAAAGTGTTAGCATGCTACTATGACAGATCTAAAGTGTTAGCATGCTACTATGACAGATCTAAAGTGTTAGCATGCTACTATGACAGATCTAAAGTGTTAGCATGCTACTATGACAGATCTAAAGTGTTAGCATGCTACTATGACAGATCTAAAGTGTTAGCATGCTACTATGACAGATCTAAAGTGTTAGCATGCTACTATGACAGATCTAAGGTGTTTTCTAAAAGGCTAGCTCACTGTTTAGCCTGTTAGCTCGCACCTGCATCACGCTCTCCTCGAAGCTTCCCCAGGGCTCGGAGCTCCGGGCCGCGGGTCCCGTTGACATGTCTGCGGGGAAGGCGATGTCTCCGGTCCGCAGAGGCTTCGAAGGTGAGTCTACAGCTGCAGAACACCGACCACGGACCCAAGGGTTTGTTGGGGTGAGCGTCTGACGTCACGGACAGCAACGTGGCGCGGAAGTATCGCGAATGTCATTTGTTTGGTTTCTGTGCATAATGTAAATATGTTTGTTTTTGTCTTCATCATTGTATGTATCGCTGTATATGTACATTTGTAATTTTGTAATAAAATAAAAAAAAGTATCGCGAAACTCATTTAGTCGTTTAGGCATTTACGTCCCTTATCAAGGTCAGCTAATGCTCATTTTTGACAATCAAAACAAACTTCACGACTTTATTTAAAAAAATCTTTATTCATTAAAAACACATTAGTAGAAAAATAAAAAGAGAGGTTCTTTGTGAGGGTTACAGACCATAATATTCAGACAAGTATACTGTTGCCGTGGCAACGTCTTCAAGTTATACCAACATTCTCATGGTTTAAGTAACATTAGTCTGAATCAGAGTAAAAGGTACAAGGCACAATACAGTCCAGTCCTGGCCCAGTCCTGGTCCAGACCCGGTCCAGTCTCGGTCCAGACCTAATAGATCCATGGTCCAAACCCACTCCAGTCCAGATCTCTCTCAGTACAGTGGGTTGCGGAGGTGGTTGATCTGGACTTTGTAAATGTCTGTGATTAATCTTCGGGACAAATATATCCCAAACATCTGAAACAGATACACAACACTGAGACACAGAGAAATACACAACACTAAAACAGAAGGACCTCAGCTGACAGAGAACCTGCAGCGTTGATAAAGGAGGATTCTGTGATGATTTTGTTGTCCCTTGTCCAGTTAAATCTTTCGCTTTTCTTTAAATCCACACTTTAGTGTCACAAATTATGCTGGTTTTCCTCCCGCTCTAGCTCCCTTCTGATCAGTAGCTTTGATTGGTCAGAACGCTGTCCCTCTGTGCACGTGCATTAGAGCTACAAACCCATGCTCGTTTGTATTTGGAGCAAAGCATCATGGGAGCTCGTCAACAGCGCAGATCCGAGAGGACCAGAGGCATAACCAACTAGGGCGAGTTTCACTAATCTTTTGGTGCACATGGTAGAGCGCCACAAAGCACAAGCCACTGATTTTAATAGACCGCCATCTTGGATCACCGGGGGTTGACTGAGACCATAGACCGTAAATATTAACGGACAGTCACACCTATCTCCACCATTAAAACGAAAGTGCCACCACTCTGCCTTCTGTGGGCAGTTTCAAAATGGCAGGGAAATGTTGAAAAAAGGCATTTGTGCATGCGTCAGCCGGCAGGAGGCCCATTCATTTGAGGAGTGCCTTCTGAGGTCCACTGCGACTTATCTAGACTGGACCAAAAAATATGTATGTATATATACTCCCCTAAACGTATGGTCCAAAAGCCAGCTCTTGGCCCAAAGCTACGTTCCAGATGTGTGGAACGTAGCTTTGGGCCAAGAGCTGACTTTTGAACCATACGTTTTTGAGAAGAAAGAAGACGCCATACACAATAATTGAATAAATCTCTCTCTGGGTCTACCCCATGAATCTATTATAATAACGGTCTACCCCCACCGGCAAGGAGTGGACCCGCCCCCACTGACTGAGACACACAACACATAGACACAGAGACACACTGTACCTGCAGGACGCTCACGCCCACACACACTGCTGCTACACTGTACATATTCCCTGGGATCCACTGTTCAAGAGCAGAAATACAACCACGAGTGTGAATCTGCTCCGACCAAACAGACTGCAAGACACAGAGAGGACAGCCAATTAGAGAGAGGGAGGGGAGAGGATGAGAGAAGAGGAGAGAGGAAAGAGAGTGGTCACACCATAGACTTTATATAGAAGGACAATGCTAACTCTAGCTAGATGCTAACTCTAGCTGGATGTTTACTCTAGCTGAATGCTAACTTGCTAGCTGAATGGAACACCTGTGGTTTCCTGCTCCGGACGTCGTATCCACACTGCGAGTTCAGTACTGCCTCCTGAAACAACAGCAGTATTAGTAATCTGTTACTGTGAAAGTACTCAAGTAAAGCGGTTATACTCGAGTACTATAGTAATACTTGAGTTTGAGGCCTCACCGCAGGGTCCAGGATGCAGCAAGAGAATGGGACGCCACATCTCTCTCTAGATTTATTTGTTGAGTTACACAAGAAATAAGGATTCAGCTCCCAGTCATCAGGGCCCAAGGCACCGCAGCAGGAGGCCTAGTGTCAGAGGTCACAGATCAGAGGTCAGGGACCGCAGCAGGAGGCCTAAGGTGAGGTCACATGACAGGGCCTTGGCACCTCAGCAGGAGGAGAAGAAGATTACAGGTGAAGCAGAGGAAGAGGTGCAGAGGAGGAGGAGGAGCAGAGGAGGAGGTGCTCACCGTGGTCTGTAAGGAGTCTATCAGGTTCTGCAGGTCGATGTCGTCTCTGTACGCTTGAACGTTTTTCAGGAAAAACGACTGAATCCACGAAAAAAACTGAGACTGAAACACGAGGAGAAGAACCACAAGGAGAAGCTCTGCCAGGAAGATCAGGCCCACGAGGGAGGAGAACTGTGGGGAGAGAGGGGAAGTGAGGAGACAGTGGGGAGAAGAGAAAGAGGAGGTAAGGAAAGAGAGGAGAGGAGAAGATGAGGTAAGGAGACTGTGGGGAGAAGAGAAAGAGGAGGTGAGGACAGAGAAGAGAGGAGAAGATGAGGTAAGGAGACTGTGGGGAGAAGAGAAAGGAGAGGAGGTAAGGAGAGAGAAGAGAGGAGGAGACTGTGGGGAGAAGAGAAAGGAGAGGAGGTGTGGAGAGAGAAGAGAGGAGGAGACTGTGGGGAGAGGAGAAAGAGGAGGTGAGGACAGAGAAGAGAGGAGAAGACTGTGGGGAGAGGAGAAAGAGGAGGGAGGACAGAGAAGAGAGGAGAAGATGAGGTAAGGAGACTGTGGGGAGAAGAGAAAGGAGAGGAGGTAAGGAGAGAGAAGAGAGGAGGAGACTGTGGGGAGAAGAGAAAGGAGAGGAGGTGTGGAGAGAGAAGAGAGGAGGAGACTGTGGGGAGAAGAGAAAGGAGAGGAGGTAAGGAGTGAGAAGAGAGGAGGAGACTGTGGGGAGAGGAGAAAGAGGAGAGGAGGTGTGGAGAGAGAAGAGAGGAGATGAGGTGAGGAGAAAGAGGAGAGGAGGTGAGGCGACTGTAAGGAGAGGAAACAGGGGAAGGAGGTGAGTAGAGTGTGGGGAGAGAAAAAGAAGAAGTGAGAAGAGGAGGAGAGGAGTTGAGGAGGTGAGGAGACCGTGGGGAGAGTAGAGGAGGTGTGATGAGCAGGAGGAGGTTCTCACCGTCTTCAGCAGACACAGGTTCTCCCTCAGAGCTCCCACACAGCCACAAAAACCCAGAATAAACATGACTCCTCCAGAGATCAGGACGAACCAGACCGGATCAAAACCACGGACCCGGGTCACAGCAGTCAGGTCCTGAAGGACTCCCTAAAACAAGAGACAAGATGAGACGAGAGAGAGAGAGAGACCAGCAAGAGACCAGAAAGAGAACAGGGAGAGACGAGAGAGAGACCAGAGAGAGACCAGAGAGAGACCAGAGAGAGACCAGAGAGAGACCAGAGAGAGACCAGAGAGAGACCAGAGAGAGAGACCACAGATATCAGAGAGAGAGACCAGAGAGAGACCAGAGAGAGAGACCACAGATATCAGAGAGAAAGACCAGAGAGAGAGACCACAGATATCAGAGAGAGACCAGACCACAGATATCAGAGAGAGAGACCAGAGAGAGACCAGAGAGAGAGACCACAGATATCAGAGAGAAAGACCAGAGAGAGACCAGAGAGAGAGACCACAGATATCAGAGAGAAAGACCAGAGAGAGACCAGAGAGAGACCAAAGAGAGAGACCACATATATCAGAGAGAGAGACCAGAGAGAGACCAGAGAGAGAGACCACAGATATCAGAGAGAAAGACCAGAGAGAGAGACCACAGATATCAGAGAGAAAGACCAGAGAAAGACCAGAGAGAGACCAGAGTCCTGAGGGTCAGGTTACGGGTACCTTCTCACTCCAGGCCCACAGTCCTGCTGCGATGAGAGCGGCTCCCAATAACTGCAATACAAATGGAAGTCAGACACACACTCTGGCTCATAGGCCTGTGTCTCTGTGTGTGTGTGTGAGCGTGTGTGTGTGTGAGCTTGTCTGCGTGTGTGTGTGCGCGCGTGTGTACCCAAAAGATGATGTTGTAGCTGAACATGAGGTACTTGTAGCAGCAGCTGACCTCTGCGTTTGCATATCTGTAATAGTACATCTGCAACACATAACAACCATCACTGCAGCGAGGAGCAAGACAGAGGACAGAGTAAGTAAGTAATCTATATTTATATATTTTTTTAAAATCACTTTTTGCCGTTCCGCTGCTCAAACAACGTTTCCCTGATCAGAGTCACAAAGCGGTTGTGGCCATTTGTCCTCTCACTCCACACAGAGATGGGAGCAGAGTCGCCAGTACAGGAGGCGCATGGCAGACCTATTGTACATGCTTTTAGTGGTAGGGGAGACTGGAGTACCTGGAGGAAACCTACGCAGACACAGGGAGAACATACAAACTCCACTCAGAAAGGCCCTGTTCCGAACGGGATCCGAACCCAGGACCTTCTTACTGAGAGAGTGCTATCCATTCAGGCAGTGCCGCCATAAGACATGAGAAGAGAGATTATGGTCACTCTCAGGTCTCTCTACAGCGGTATTTTAGTGCATGCATGGCTTTTGACAGCAGCAGCAGCAACACTGAGCTACATCTCAGTTGGTAAATGTGTTTAAATGGGTTTATGGCTCTGGATTTCTAAAATGTTTGGAGCTGAACACGTCATTACAAGAAAAGAAGTCTGTGATTTTCCACGTGATGTTTTGGTGTATCACATAAAACACGTGTTACAGATGTTACATATGTAACACATACAGTGTGGCAAACAAGTATTTAGTCAGCCACCAATTGTGAAAGTTCCCCCTACTTAAAATCATGAGAGGCCTGTAGACATTGATACACCTCAACTATGAGGGACAGTATGAGAAAACAAAAAAATCTTATTTGTACATTTGAAAAAAATAAAAAATAATAATTGGTCACTTAAAAACAAGCAATAAATCACACCTGTTTAAACTCGTTATCAGTAGGAAAGACACCTGTCCACAACCTTACACAGTCACACTCCAAACTCCACTAGGGCCAAGACCAAAGAGCTGTCAAAGACCTTTTGTAGACCTGCACCAGGATGGGAATAGGTAAGCAGCTTGGTGTGAAGAAATCCACTGTGGGAGCAATAATTAGAAAATGGAAGACAGACAAGACCAATGATAATCTCCCTCAATCTGGGGCTCCAAACAAAATCTCACGGGATGAGATTTTAATCACAACAAAGGAGTGGAAACATTTCAAGGTCCTTGAGTGGCCTAGCCAGTCTCCAGATCTCAACCCCAAAGAAAATCTTTGGTGGGAGTTGCAGGTCCGTGTAGCCCAGCGACAGCCCCATAACATCAGAGGTCTGCATAGAGGAATGGGCCAAAACACCAGCAACTGTGTGTGAAAACCTTGTGAAGACTTACAGAAAACGTTTGAGCTCTGTCATTGCCAACAAAGGGTATATCATAATAAAATATTGAGATTAACTTTTGTTATTGACCCAATACTTATTTTCCACCATCATTTGCAGCCAACAACCGCGTCTGCACTAAAAAGCATGGCTAACCATAACAGCACAGAAACTCGTCCTTTTAAAATGTAAGCAGCAGAAAGAGCAGAAATGTGGGTAGTAAAAAGTAAAAATACTTAGTTACTTCTGTCTTCTACCGCAACGTCCTCTGTCAGTAACTGAAAACATGCGTTTTTCATTAACTTCACTGTGGTTTATTTACACTGAGCAGATGCTAACAGAGTTCCCCGGAGCAACCCTCACCTGTGTCCCGCAGCGGAGCTCAGAGCCGAGGGGGGGAGTCAACAATAACAACAACAACAACGATGAACAAACTTTTAAAGACAAAATAAAGAAGATTAACCCCGGCTGCACTTCCGCCTCTGTCCTTTCACAACACTTCCGCTTCTCTTTCCAAATTGACCTGAAGGGAGAGTCAAACTGGGTCCCTTTCAAACACGAACTTAAAGACTCTTTAATCAGAGGTCAGAAATGTGACCACTGACCGTCTGCTCTGTTGTGTTTGTGTTGTACTGTATCATGATATGTGTTTTAATTATGTTTTAACCATGTATTGTTTAATTTTTATGTAAAGGCCCAACTAGGGACGGACATTGAGAATTAGCTTTGGCTAAAATGTTGTAGTATGTAACATGAGCTTATGTGACATACTTGTCCCTATTCAAATAAACTTATTAATAAATAAACGTCAACATTGAAATGATTTGAATAAACCGTGATTTATTTTGTAGCAAATTAAAACATTTGCCTTGTTTCACCAACAATAGATGAATTAATGAATTATAAAACAGGAAGTGCAACATTATTATTGTTATTCATATATTTACAGTTTATGCACTGTACTGAAAACTTCCTGCATCAGGACTTTAGGTTGTGCCATAGACTGTACTTATAGACTGTACTTAGGGGGTGTACCCATAGATGTACCACAATACACACACGCACACACACACACTCACACTTACACACACGCCATAGACAGTAAACACAGTTCCTATAATATATACAGTCTATGGTAAACACACACAGGACAGAGGAGGAAATCTCGCGATGTTTACAGCAGAGGCGGAGTCGGAAGCTCGTCTGCAGAGTGAGACCTGGTTCAGACCTGGTCCAGACCTGCTAAAGACCTGTCTTGGACCCTCTAGAGCCGCTTCCTTCAGCCCGGGTTCAGACCTGCTTTAGCCCGGTGCAGTCCGGGTTGGACCGGTTTAAGCGCTCTCCACTGGCGGGACCTCGTGCACGCGCCGCTCGTGTCTGCGCAGGAAACAACAAGCCGAGGCGCGCGCAGGTAGCAGGTCACGCGCACGATGGACGGGTCTATAGGTAAGACGTGCACGCGCACACGGTCACATGCACGCGCACACGGCTATATGCACGCGCCTGGCTCTCCACGTGTCACCCGCAGACCCCGCCCCCTGAGCGCGTGCGTGAGGAGAACAAAGGCACCGGAAGTGGTCCAGACTACTTCCGGTAATTCAGTCCTGGTTTTGACTTGGACCTGATTTAGACCTGGTTCAGTCCTGGTTCAGACTTGGTCTTGTAGCCTTAACTTTGGGAACCACTGTGATAAAACACCTGGAGTCACATCTGGTGCACCTGAAGTTGGCTGGATGATGTTTGATACATCCTGATTCTGGAGGTTCTAATGGTGTGTGTGAGAGAGACCAGAGAGAAAAAGAGAGACTGACCAGAGAGAGAAAGAGACCAGAGGATTTGAGCAGTTTCTTGTGGGCTCTGCTGCTTGGGGTCTGTAGTTTTGCCCTGCCGTGGAGCGCGAGTGTACACAAGGCAGGCCAAGAACAACATTCATTGTATTTGTGATGTTACCGTCTGTGAAATACTTCTATAGTGCAGTTTGGTTAAACTTGTAATTATTATTCAGAGCGAGAGCTATTCCCATGGATGTATAATAATATCTGGATAAGTTATTACTAGCTTATAGCTGTCCCACCAATGGCCACAGGGGGCGCTGTGGTACTGCAGACTAAATCACATGGGCTACCCAGAAAAAAGTCCCATAGAACTCAATGTAAACTAAAACAGCTCAACCTCAGCTGACAGCGAGAAATAAAGCTGGTGTGTGTGTTTCTCAGATGAAGACCTGCACGAGGAGAGCGAGGCGCAGGTGTGTGCGCTCGACGCCGACGTTCACGCTCGTGTGTGCGCTCTTGAGCTGCGGGTCCAATCACAGGAGGACGAGCTCACTGTGCTCAAGGCAGCACTAGCTGATGTCATCCGCCGCCTCAGCCAATCAGAGGAGAGCAAGAGGCAGAGCAAAGGTACAGTCTACCAATCGGGGGAGTGGGAGGAAGAGCGAAAGTACAGTCGGCCAATCGGAGATGAGCAAATGTATAGTCATTCAAACGAAGGAGAGCAAAGGTACAATTGGCCAATCGGAGGAGAGCAAATGTATAGTCATTCAAATGAAGGAGAGCAAAGGTACAGTTGGCCAATCTGAGGAGAGCAAGAGGCAGAGCAAAGGTACAGGTTCAAAGCACAGAATGAAAGGCTCAGGAGCTAGTCCCTGATGAGTGTGTGGTTCCTCAGGCTCGATGCGGGAGGCCTACTCTCTCTCCTGTCTCCCGAACGGGGGAGGAGCGGGGAGCACCCATGGGCCCTCGAGGGGGAGCACCCACGGGAGACGCAGAGACCGAGAGTCTGGATCCGTGACCCGAAAGGAGACACTGTCCTCAGCCGCCAAGAGGTGAGACCCGGGACGAGACCCAGGACAAGACCTGGACGCCGAGACCACCAGATTACAAAACTGAGACCACAAGACCCAGACCCAGTCCCAGACAGCTACAAAGCTCTTCTGGAGAGATTTCCTGGTTTTGAGTCAAATATAAATAATTAATAATAATTCAAACCCAAACAGCGGAACAGAGAAGAGGAAGGAGTCTCTGCACAAGTCCCAGTCCAGAGCCGACCTGGACCAGACCCAGGACCAGCCCAGGTCTCAATCCTCAGAGTCCAGGTCTACGGAACCCAAGACCGAGTCCAGGACAGAATCCAAAGTCCAGACTCCAGTAAAAAGGTCCTGACTGAACCGGATCTAAAGCTTGCTTTGCTTTTGCACTAACCCAGTCTGTCTATCCGGTCTGAACGCGGTCTGAACCCGGTCTTCCTCTAACCCTGACTTCAACTTTCTGTCCGCTAACCATGTATGTCACAGGTGTATTGTGGGAAATGCAGTCTTTCTCTCACCTCTGTTTTCTGTCTAACCTGTGTGACCTCTGATCCTGACTTTGACCAATACCAAACCGATGCCCTGAGCTCTGACGGCCCATTCGGCTCCTGAGTCCGATTACGAGGATATCCCCGTCCTCATAGTCGGACTTTCTCAACTCTAGCAATAGTACAATCCATACACGTTATTATTGATTATTGGCTCGTCTGGCAGCGGCGTTGGTTTGAGTCATTACCATATGTAAATGAGATGTGATTGGCTGTGTTCTCCTTCAGAGGCGGCAGCTCGCGGCGCTCACTGGATCGAGATGATGACCGCCTGCACCGCGTCGCCTCCACGTCCAAAGTGTTAGCGCGCGTTGCTAAGCAGGCGCATAGGTGAGTTCGCCCACTCTGACCTCCCCCACAGACACCTCCGTCTTTGGTCATGTGAACACATTCATGGAAACACATTCACTGTAACGCTGAAATCCATGTAAAGAGTTGAACAGTATTGATTTGAAAATGACTTGTCCCTGTGTGTCTCAAAGTACTTATATATGGGGCGGCAGTAGCTCAGTTGGTAGAGCATTGGCCTTTGAGCTAGAAGGTCGTGGGTTCGAGCCATCAAGACTTTCACTATCGACTCCTGCTGTCGTTGTGTCCTTGGCAAGACACTTAAGGTCTGGGAACACCAGCCACAAGTGGGGCGGCTGCGGCTGTAAAGTGCCAAACTGCTGTTGTGTCCTTAGGCAAGACACTTCACCCCCATTGCCTAGAATGAGTCTGGTGTGTGTATGAATGGTTGGTGGTGGTCGGAGGGGCCGATGGCACAGACTGGTTGCCTCGCTTCTGTCAGTAGTTTATCACCACCGTGTATGGAGTGAAAGAATAATGACATGTGAAGCGTCTTTGAGTGTCCAAAAAAGCGCTATATAAAACAGATTTATTATTATTATTATTATTAATCTGCTGGTTAGGAACCATAACCATGTTGTGTAATGATACTGTTTAAACAAAGGGAAAAGTAAATACTAATAATAATTATAATTATGTTTCAGGAGCAAAGATCCAGTAGTGAGTCCAGGTGAGTCACACACACACGTCCTCATAGACCACTCTCACACGTCCTCATAGACCAGACACACGTCCTCATAGACCACACACACGTCCTCAGAGACCACACACACACGTCCTCAGAGACCACTCTCACACGTCCTCATAGACCAGACACACGTCCTCATAGACCAGACACACGTCCTCAGAGACCACACACACACGTCCTCAGAGACCACACACACACGTCCTCAGAGACCACACACACACGTCCTCATAGACCAGACAAACGTCCTCATAGACCACACACATGTCCTCATAGACCACACACATGTCCTCAGAGACCACACACGTCCTCATAGACCACACACACGTCCTCATAGACCACACACACGTCCTCATAGACCACACACACGTCCTCATAGACCACACACACGTCCTCATAGACCACACACACGTCCTCATAGACCACACACACGTCCTCATAGACCACACACACACGTCCTCATAGACCACACACACGTCCTCATAGACCACACACACGTCCTCATAGACCACACACACGTCCTCATAGACCACACACACGTCCTCATAGACCACACACACGTCCTCATAGACCACACACACGTCCTCATAGACCACACACACGTCCTCATAGACCACACACACGTCCTCATAGACCACACACACGTCCTCATAGACCACACACGTCTCATAGACCACACACTCCTCACAGACCACACACGTCCTCATAGACACACACGTCCTCATAGAGCCACACACACGTCCTCATAGACCACACACGTCCTCATAGACCAGACACACGTCCTCATAGACCAGACACACCGTCTCAGACCAGACACACGTCCTCATAGACCACACACCGTCCTCAGAGACCACACACACGCGTCCTCAGAGACCACACACACGTCCTCAGAGACCACACACACGCGTCCTCAGAGACCACACACACGCGTCCTCAGAGACCACACACACGCGTCCTCAGAGACCACACACACGCGTCCTCAGAGACCCACACACACACGCGTCCTCAGAGACCACACACACGCGTCCTCAGAGACCACACACACGCGTCCTCAGAGACCACACACACGCGTCCTCAGAGACCACACACACGCGTCCTCAGAGACCACACACACGCGTCCTCAGAGACCACACACACGCGTCCTCAGAGACCACACACACGCGTCCTCAGAGACCACACACACGCGTCCTCAGAGACCACACACACGCGTCCTCAGAGACCACACACACGCGTCCTCAGAGACCACACACACGCGTCCTCAGAGACCACACACACCACACAGCGTCCTCAGAGACCACACACACGCGTCCTCAGAGACCACACACACGCGTCCTCAGAGACCACACACACGCGTCCTCAGAGACCACACACACGCGTCCTCAGAGACCACACACACGCGTCCTCAGAGACCACACACACGCGTCCTCAGAGACCACACACACGCGTCCTCAGAGACCACACACACGCGTCCTCAGAGACCACACACACGCGTCCTCAGAGACCACACACACGCGTCCTCATAGACCACTTGAACCGGCTAACACACAGATTCAGATTCATTTATTCGCCATTTGCAGTAACACTACATTGGAATACATTGGTAAAAGTTCCCAGTGTACACAGGACAAGTACAGACATAAAACAATATTAAAAGACAAAAATAAAACAAATTTTTAAAAACAGTAAACAAATGTCACTGTGAAGTTGACCAACTAAAACAGATCTGTACAAGTGCAAAAACATTAAAGTGCTCTATTCAAACTGATAACACTTTCGTGGTCCGCAGATCTTAGGGAGGTGTGGGCTTTGTGGTGAGTAGATGGTCTGTAGTTAGATCCCTCTAGCTTTAAAGCAACAGAATAGTGTAGAGTTTTAGAGCTGTCTTTTCTCTCATTCCATTGTCTGCAGAGGCTCTCGGGGTCTGATTTAGATATTCTCTGACCACACTTTGAGAACCGCTGCTCCCTCCTGTGTTTGTGCATTCACTTGTTTCACCATTTCATGTTATACTTTTATTTTCTCATTATGTCGTGTCTCATTCATCAGCCAAAATGTCCACCAGAGAAAAGACCAAAGAGACGCAGGCAGGTGAGTGACGCTAACAGGAAGATCACAATGACTGAAGCTGGAGTCTGTGTGTGTACTTATACGTGTGTGTGTGTACTCATTGTATTGTGTTTCCAGAGGGGAACGTCATAAAGATGTTCATGCGCGGCCGTCCCATCACGATGTTTATTCCGTCAGATGTTGAAAACTACAATGACATGAAGACGGAGCTGCCTCCAGAGCGTCTCAAACTGGAGTGGGCGTATCCTTCTGTGCTGCCTGATACTCAGGGAAAGTATTGGAACTATTCGACTCTTCTCTTTTAGAGGTCGCAGAGGGAAATGAAGGTTAGAATAAAACTGTTTATATCAGTGTTTGAAAGTGAAAGGTTGCGCTGTCCTCACAACACCCCTCACAGTACTTCTCACAGCACCCCTCGCAGTACTCCTCACAACACCCCTCGCAGTACTTCTCACAACACCCCTCGCAGTACTCCTCACAACACCCCTCGCAGTACTTCTCACAACACCCCTCGCAGTACTCCTCACAACACCCCTCGCAGTACTCCTCACAACACCCCTCAGCAGTACTCCTCACAACACCCCTCGCAGCAGTACTCCTCACAACACCCCTCGCAGTACTCCTCACAACACCCCTCGCAGTACTCCTCACAACACCCCTCGCAGTACTCCTCACAACACCCCTCGCAGTACTCCTCACAACACCCCTCGCAGTACTCCTCACAACACCCCTCGCAGTACTCCTCACAACACCCCTCGCAGTACTCCTCACAACACCCCTCGCAGTACTTCTCACAGTACCCCTCGCAGTACTCCTCACAGTACCCCTCACAGTACTCCTCACAACACTCCTCGCAGTACTCCTCGCAGCACCCCTCGCAGTACTCCTCACAACACCCCTCGCAGTACTCCTCGCAGTACTCCTCGCAGTACTCTCCCAACAGTCGCCTGTTATCAAAGCTCAGTGTAAGAGTAAACAGTGATTATGCTCTCCTGTGCCACTGCCGCAGTACTGTAAAGCTGAAGTATACTAGTACCCTAACCCTCCCTCAGATACGGGTACCGTGGCAGAGACTGCAGAGCGAACGTGTTCCTGCTGCCGACCGGAGAAACTGTTTACTTCATTGCTTCAGTCGTCGTTTTGTTCAACAGTGAAGAACGAACTCAGCGTCACTATATCGGCCACAGCGACTGCGTCAAGTGGTACTATACTTCTAAAATACTAGTGCAGTACTACTATACTTCGACTATACTACTGCAATATTACTGCAGTACTAATACTATTGCATTATTATCAGTATAAATACTTGTCCACAGTCTGGCTCTTCATCCTGATAAGATTCGAGTCGCAACAGGACAGATCGCAGGAGTCGACAAAGACGGACGAGTGAGTCACACTTTATATAGATATAAACCACAGTGTGTGGGTTTTGTGAGTCTGTAACACAATGTGTATAGATATAAACTGTACGTGTGTTGCAGGCGCTGGCTCCTCACGTCAGAGTCTGGGACAGTGTGAGTCTGTCCACGCTGCAGGTCGTGGGACAGGGTACATTCGAGCGTGGAGTCGGCTCACTGGCCTTTTCTAAAGCTGTAAGTCCAATGCGCACACACAACACATGCGCACACACAACACATGCGCACACACAACACATGCGCACACACAACACATGCGCACACACAACACATGCGCACACAACACATGCGCACACAACACATGCGCACACAACACATGCGCACAACAGGGACTGGCAAAAAAAAAAACCCTTTCTGACATAATTCTGCTTCATGTTCAGCCTCTGACCCGGTGTCCCCCCTGTCCCCCCTCCTCCACCCTGTCCCTCCCCCACCCTCCCCCTCCTCTTTCCTCCCTCTCTCCTGTGTAGGACTCAGGCGTGCACCTTGCCGTGGTGGACGACTGTAACGACCACATGTTGACAGTTTGGGACTGGAACCGAAAACAGAAAGTGGCTGAAATCAAGGTATCTATCCTTCCCCTCGCCCCTCTGTCTTCTCTCCTCTGTCTTCCCTCCTGTCTTCCCTCCTGTCCTCCCTCCTGTCCTCCCTCCTCCCTCCTTTCTCCTATCCTAACGCCTCTCTCCTCTGTCCCCCCTTTCCTCCTCTCTTCTCTGTCCTGTTCTCCCCCCTTTGTCCCCTCTTGATGATGTCATGTGTTTATACAGACAACCAATGAATTGGTGCTGGGGGTGGAGTTTCACCCAACAGACTCCGCCTCCATCGTCACCTGTGGAAAATCTCACATTTTCTTCTGGACGTGGAACAACAACAGCCTCCAACGCAAACAGGGGATCTTCGGGGTAAGTACAATATAGACCCGGACCGGACGGGGGCCCGGACCGGACGGGGGCCACGTGTTTAAGGACACAATAAAACTAGGGCTGGGCGATATGGCTGAAATCTATATGATAAATGATATATTGATAATTATTTTAATTTTTTGTGTGTTCCCAGTCTTGGTAGGGGCGACGACCTTTCAAAATTTGCCAAACTGATGACATGACCTTTCCTTTCTTATTTTCAATTTCCTCTCGTGCTATTATGTTATTATAGATCCATGGTGCTGCACTCACCCCTCCTTGTTAGCCAGCCGTTGTTCGTTTTTTTTTCTTTTTGCATTTCCCAGAATGCCTTTTGGTGCATGCTCGGCCGTGATGGGTCGAGAAGCCTCTGCCTAGTTCCCCCAGAATGCTGGGTACTTCTGGCTCGGATTGTTGTCCTGCTTTTTTTTTTTATCTAACCCATCCATCCATCCATCCATTTTCTACCCTTTAATCCATTTCTGGGTCAGGGGGGTGGCAATCAGAGATACCACCCAAATCTCATAGCACCAGCCCCTCACTGACCCTCTGCAGGTGGTGAGTCCACAGGAGGACGGCTGCTCTCTGAGTGTGAGCATAGCCTTGATCTTTCAGTGGGGGCTTTAGGCAAAGTGGGGTTAAGTGTCTTGCCCAAGGACACAACGACAGCAGTCATCAGTGGGAGTCGGTGGAGAAGGTGTAGAGGTGGGAATTGAACCCACGACCTTCAGGCCTGAAGGCCAATGCTCTACCAACTGAGCCACTGTCGCCACTTATCTAACATTAAGTGAAATTATCAAACATTCTATTGCCTCCATTTTTTATCGCCCAGCTCTACGTTTATTTGGCACAGAAGAATCTGTAACACAAGTGTAATGCGAGGCCATTAAACGCTGGTGTATGTCATGTGTTTGTGTAGAAATTGGAAAAGCCAAAGTTCGTCCAGTGCGTGGCCTTCCTGCAGAGTGGGGACATTCTGACTGGAGACTCGGGGGGCGCCCTGTTGGTGTGGAGCAGAACTGCAGACACGGCCAGCAGCAAAGGCCTGAGAGGTACCATGTGACCTCTGACCTCAGGACCATGTGACTGAATGTGACCTCTGACCTGTGTCCACTGCAGCCTACCACATCACACGGCAGGTCAAGGCCCATGAGGGCAGTGTGTTCTGCCTCAGTGACACCAGAGGGGGCGCTGTGCTCAGTGGAGGATCAAAGGACAGAAGAGTGGTTCTATGGGACCACAGCCTGAGAGCAGAGAAGGAGATGGAGGTACACGCACGTGCACTCACACACACCAATTTTATTTTGTATATTTTAGGAAAATCCTGAAGCTTAACCTTTTATAGATGGTTAAATGCATCATTAACAGTGGTAATACATCACATTTTTACCAGCGTCCATTTTCTATGGTGTCTGCCTCAGCCTAGGGCCCCTGTATGACCCTGTTCTGTCTCAGGTACCCGAGGCGTTCGGCAGTATCCGTGCAGTTGCTGAGGGAAAAGGAGACGAGGTTTTAGTGGGAACTTCAAAGAACTTTATCCTGAGGGGAACCTTCACAGAGGGCTTCACCGTGGAGGTTCAGGTACTGACCAGAGGAGGACTGGAACCAGGAGAGGACCAGGACTGCAACCAGGACTGGTACCAGGAGAGGACAAAGACCAAACTAGGCCAGGACTGATCAGGCTTTGTCTGTCGTTGCAGGGACATACGGACGAGCTCTGGGGTTTGGCAAGTCACCCGAGCGCAGACCTGTTCCTAACCTGCGCTCAGGACCGACTGGTCTGTCTGTGGGACGCACGGGAGCACAGGCTGAGGTGGAGCAGGAGTCTGGAGGTGAGGGGAGAGGATGGGAAGCAAGAATCTGGAGGTGAAGGGGGTGGAGGAGTCTGGAGGTGAGGGGGGAGGGGGTAGGAGGAGTTTGGAACTGAGGGGGAGCAGGAGTCTGGAGGTGAGGGGGTGCTCAGGACTTTGTTTCTTGCAGGAACATGGACACTGTGCAGAGTTTCACCCGAGTGGGAACGTGGTCGTGATCGGGACTCATTCCGGGAAGTGAGTACAAAACTGTTTTTAATATGGAGTCCCTCAGGGGTCAACACTGGGACCATCCTTTTTCCTATTTGGAGTCCAGTCCAGTTTGTGGTTCAGATGAACACCCAGGTACTTGCAAGAGTCCACTCTGTCAATGTCCCTTCCATGGATGTTCACTAGGGCTGGAGCGTTAGAGTGACGTCTGCGGAAATCCACCACCATCTCCTTGGTCTTTGCCGCATTGATGAGGAGGTGGTTTCGCTGCCACCAGTCCACAAAGTCCTGTATTAGTCCTCTGTGTCATTGTCCTTGGAGCAGAGTCCGATGATGAGTCGTCAGAGAACTTTTGTAGGACACAACTGTCTGTGTTGTGTCTGAAGTCTGCAGTGTTGAGGATGGCCCCACACTGTAGGTCAGGACCTCAAACAGAAAGTCCATGGTTCTCACAAACTGGGGTCTGTCTGTGAGGTAGTGTCTCTAATTTCGATGCCCGGCCGGTAGGCAAACTGCAGCGGGTCCATCGCTAAGGTCAGAGTGGAGCGGAGATGGGAACATCATTATTCATAACTGGGGTCCCTCTAGATTCTACACAAAAATAGGCTTTATCCAAATGTAGAAAATAAAATGTAATCCCTGTAATCTCTAATCCCTGTTTAATCCTTGTCTCCTGTAGGTGGTACGTTCTGGACGCAGAGACCACTGACCTTGTGGCGATTCACACAGATGGAAACGAGCAACTTTCAGTGCTGCGCTTCTCCACCGGTACGTCATGGGTCAGGGTTGCGGGCGAGTGTTATGGGTCATGGGCAAGAGTTCTGGTTTAAGGTGCGGGTCTGTACTATACTCTTGTTTCCCATGACACTTTGCAGACGGGAGCTTGCTTGCTGTGGGGTCACATGACAACTTCATTTACCTGTACACCGTATCTGAGAACGGACGCAAGTATAACCGCTACAACAAGTGCTCGGTGAGTGCGAGTATTGATACCGTTTCTCCTGTTCTTGTTACTCCTGATACTGATACTGTCCTGCTGCTCAGGGACACTCCAGTTACATCACTCACTTGGACTGGTCTCCTGACAACAGCTTCATCATGTCCAACTCTGGAGACTATGAGATTCTCTACTGTGAGTACACACACGCGAGTTGATGCATTTATGGAAACATACAGCAGAAAGATCCTATACTTTATCTGCAGTACTTTTGTAGTACTTACTACAGTACTGTGTACAGGGGATGTGGTGAATGGCTGTTCTCAGATCAGGAATCGTTCCGACTGTAAAGACATCGACTGGGCCACGTACACCTGTGTCCTGGGCTTCCACGTGTTTGGTCAGTGTCTCATACTAATACTACTGCTACTGTTACTTCTAGCGTTACTCTTGTTTCTCCTGTCCTCCTCAGGGGTGTGGCCTGAGGGCTCAGATGGTACAGACATTAATGCTCTGGTTCGGTCTCATAATCGTCGAGTCATTGCTCTGGCTGACGACTTTTGCAAAGTTCATCTGTTCTCCTACCCCTGCAGCACGCCGAAGGTAACACACATACACACCCTGTGGCCTATGTGTGACCTCTGACCTCTGTATTACCTCTAGGCTCCCAGTCACAAATACAGCGCTCACTCGAGTCATGTGACAAATGTCAGCTTCCTATTCGCTGACAGTCACCTGATCTCAACGGGTGGGAAGGATACCAGCGTGCTGCAGTGGCGATTGGTGGAGAGTAGCACTGGCCCAGCCCCCAAGGCTCCTCCCCCTGTGGAGACTACACCCACAGCTAATGGGGAGCCAGAGCCTGCCCTGACTCCGCCCACCTCTGACACACTCAGTTTGATGGACAGTCTGGAGCCGACTCCCCCTCTGACTCCGCCCTCTTAGCCCCTCCCTCTCCTGAAGAGGGTGGAGTTTGTGGACTTCTCCCAAGTACAAGCAGCCAATCAAACCTGCATCCTGATCATGTGACTTGTTTTATTTTTATGTCTTTTTTAAATAAAAAATAAATGAAATGGTAAAGCTCGCCCCCAATGTGAACGTCCGCTCGTCATTGGTTGGAGCTTTGAGCCAATTAAGATGTCTGTTTCTGATGTGAAGGGCTATTGTCATTGGACACATTCAGGGGTGGGAGGGGCTAGCATGTGAAAGGGAGGGGTTTGTATGTGAGTCACGTGATGAGGGCATGAGCCAATCACGTGTCAGAAGCATTCCTGATGCCGCAGATTGAAAAAATAAAAGATTTGAACAAAACTGAGGCTTTTTATATTAAACATTTACCTCTGCTACTACTCCATTACCTTCTCTCAGCTCCTCCATCTCTCTGCTCCCCTCCTCTTGCTGTGTTAAAGTCTGGTTAAAAATGTGAGGATTCCATTTAGAAATTTTATTCATTCACAAACTGCACATTGTTCCTTTTTGCAGAAGTAAAATATTTGAATAAAAAATGTGAACTCCAAATGTTAAGCTACATGATATCCTGCAGAGAAGATCAGGCAATTATGTGAGGTCTAGCGCAAGCAGACTCTTCCCTCTGATTGGCCGAGGCAGCAGAATCTTTGCGTGACGCTGCGGTGACTCCATGGCTCCTCCCACTGCTCCACATGACACTGGACTTCCTGGAAACACGTTCATTTTATTGTTATCTCAGGCTTTATTTATGTAATTTTAATCTACTTGTAGGTCAGAGCGGACACCAAAAACCACATTCACCATTTCAGGCTTAAATCTGGTTTATTGCTGTGTGATCCTGCAGTTTGTATGTCATATTGTCTTTGTAAATCCAGATATGACCATATAATAACTGATTGATCAGAAGTATTCATTCAGAAGAAATTCTCCATTGAAAATCTAGTGACATAACTTTTCCCTTCTGCAGACATTTAACAAGTGCATTCAAAAAATTAATCCTTCAGCAACATGGTCAATGTGCCCCAGGGCAACTGTGGCTGCAGTAGTTAATCACCACCATGTATGAAGTGAAAGAACAATTACATGTGAAGCGTCTTTGATTACATTATTATTATTATTAACAACAGCATCTAGAATGTAGCGCTGAGTCAAGAGCGACTTTTGGACCAGGCCGTAAAGGCGTTTTCCATACGAAACAAGGCGTTGTAAGAATTCTCTGGATAATTCTGTTTCTTGTACAACACCACCAGCAAAGAGCCAGACTACAGCGTGTCAATGTCATGGACCTGTGAGCTGGGACTATACAGTCTATGGCTGGGACCCGCCCACACTGGTCTGACCCTGTTAAACAGTCAGAACAAATGCTTCTCCTGCAGGTGATACCAGCCCCTGTTCCTCCCACAATACCCTGATTACCTGGTGCAGTTTTCCCGCCGGTTGCTCGTCGCATTCCTTCAGATGTTTTTCTTCTTGTTTGCGACAAACACTTCTGCAGAGAACCAGATCCAGAGAGAACAGCAGGCCACGCACCACCTGTAACCACGGCAACCTGTAACCACGGCAACCCGGGACTCATGCTTCCTTAGCCCCGCCCTCACCTGTCTCTGAGCTCTGGTGATTCGCTTGGGCTTGAACAGAAAGCTGTCATTGGATTGATTGTTGAAGGAGATCGCGGCAGACAGCGCCACCTGCTGGACTCGTCTGTCGTCTGCGCTCACATCACATGGCGCTCCAGGGACTCGGCTTCCGTGGATTTGAACCAAAAGACCTAGAACAGACCTGTTTTAGACCAGTGCAGACATCTGATACTTTCCGATCAGTGAGCGGTTAGCAAGTGCAGAAGATGGGGGTGGAAACCGATGGTTTGGGGCAGCTTTTCTCCAGTGTGTGGAACCTGACATGCAGGATGTGTGATTTTGTTACACTTTTTCTGCAGCGTTTTACAAATGCATTGTTTACATAATATTTGAACAAATAAACACACACTACATATTATACACATACATATGGAGTTCTTACCATAGACAGTAAATATTAATATCATTCTTACCCAGAAACACAGAGAGCATCAGAAGCGGTGCCATCTCTCCACTTCCTGTTCACAGCTTCTAGAGGAAGTCCTGTTTTCTGTCCATATTTGGTTGCGTCATTTTACCACAGATCAGTTCAGCTCTTGATGAAATCTGTTGCACATACTGTTCCAACACTCTCCTCAGGAGGCTACAGTCCAGACCAGTACCTTCACCATAAGAGCTTATTCTCTCATTTCATCAGTCCCCTGCCCTTTGTAATAGTCTCTTTACCCTCACTGTGTGTCCCCACCAAGTCTGAAACCAAACTTATGCCATTGCTTGTACATGGTTGCAATTTTCAGAAATGTTATGAAGATTTTTTGTTTTTATAATGTATTCTATTTTTACTTTAACTTCACTGACCTCCACTAGGGGCCTCTCGATTGCGGCCCTCATGTTTGTAAATTCCGGTGAAAGAAAAGCCACATGTTTAAATATGTGTTTATTTGCTTCAGTTTAAATCAGACATCAGCAAAAACAACAAACGTTTGTGGAAAAAACATAAAAAAGTTCTGAAGCTAAATCTACAACTAAACAGCTCCAAGAGAATCACTGGGTCTGGACTAGGACCGTAACCGAGTCTGTACCAGGACCGGTACTGGGTCTGGACAGTAGTGGACTGGGTTTGACCAGATTCATGATCTCAAACCGTAAAAACGAATAATCCGTAATCCCACGGGACACAGACATGTGGGACGACCCAAACTCTGAAAACTGTGTAATATTGACTTTAATGACTTTAAAGCAGAGTTTGAAAACAAAAACATTGAACAGAATTCTCTGAAGCGTTTTTCATCACAGAAGCAAAATATTTACAAAAGGTCAAGAGTCCAGAAGGAGAGGTTCATTTGGGTTTGTGTTAGCACTTTCTGGGGGTCCTGGTCTGAGGGTCCTGGTCTGGGGCTCCTGGTCTGGGGCTACTGGTCTGGGGCTGCTGGTCTCATTCAAAAGTGAAGTCATAGTCAAAGTCCAGGGCCGTCATGTCCGCGGGGAGGCCAAGGGTTTCTGGGGTCAGCTCCACCATGGGGGCCTCTACCTGCACCTCCCCCATCTGCACCTCTCCCATCTGCACCACCACCAACTGCTGCACTTCCTGCTGAAGCTGCACCTCCTGCTGAAGCTGCACCTCCTGCTGAAGCTGCTCCTCCTGCTGAAGCTGCTCTTCCTGCTGAAGTTGCACCTCCTGCTGAAGCTGCACCTCCTGCTGAAGCTGCACCTCCTGCTGAAGCTGCACCTCTTGCTGAAGCTGCACCTCTTGCTGAAGCTGCACCTCTTGCTGAAGCTGCTCCTCCTGGATCAGCACCTCCTGGATCTCCACCTCCTCTCCTCCACCCTCACATAGCGCCACCTCTGGCTGCTGCAGGTATTGGGTCTCAGGCTCTGGCTCAGACTGCTGCCGGCGCCGTCTCTTGTTCCGGCTGTGAAGCTCAGGTTCTGGTCCTGGTCCTGCCTGAGGCTCCTGGTCAGACGGAAGCTGTCCCTCTGACTCGGGTGTGGCCTCTTGCTGCTGCAGTCTTCGAGTCAGGTACCGAGTCTGTAGCTCTGGGTCAGTTTCGGGCTCGGGCTCCTTTTTCTGCCGCCGTCTCCTCTGGGAGCTGCGAGTCTCTGGCTCGGGTTCTGGCTCAGGTTCTGTTGTTGCGGTCTCCATCTCTGGTTCTGCCTCAGACTTCTGCCTTCGCCGCCTCTGGTAGCGCCGCTGTGGTTCAGGCTCTGGTTCTGGTTCAGGCTCTGGTTCAGGCTCAGGCTCAGGCTCTGGTTCAGGCTCAGGCTCAGGCTCTGGTTCAGGCTCTGGTTCAGGCTCTGGTTCAGGCTCAGGTTCTGGTTGAAGCTCTGGTTCAGGCTCTGGTTGTGGCTCGGGCTCTAGTTCGATCTCTGGTTCCTCCTCGGGCTCGGGCAGCTTGCGGCGGGTCTGGTACCGGGTCTGCCTGCCTCTGCCGCCCCGCCTTCTGCCTCTGCCGCGTGGTTTGGTTTCAGGGGACAGCTCGATGTCGAGGTCGGCTTTGATGGGGCTTTCCTCAGGTTCTGACTGGGCCTCAGCCAGGGGTTCAGCTTGGGGTTCAGCTTGGGGTTCAGCTTGGGCTTCAGCTTGGGCCTCAGCTTGGGCCTCAGCTTGGGCTTCAGCTTGGGCCTCAGCTTGGGCCTCAGCTTGGGCCTCAGCTTGGGCCTCAGCTTGGGCCTCAGCAGGGGCCTCAGCAGGGGCCTCAGCAGGGGCCTCAGCAGGGGCCTCAGCAGGGGCCTCAGCAGGGGCCTCAGCAGGGGCCTCAGCAGGGGCCTCAGCAGGGGCCTCAGCAGGGGCCTCAGCTTGGGCCTCAGCTTGGGCCTCAGCTTGGGCCTCAGCTTGGGCCTCAGCTTGGGCCTCAGCTTGGGCCTCAGCTTGGGCCTCAGCTTGGGCCTCAGCTTGGGCCTCAGCTTGGGCCTCAGCTTGGGCCCCAGAGACAATCCGGACCAGCGGCACCTGCAGTTTTGGCAAATCTTTGGCCAGATCGTCTGCATTGGCTCGGGTGGGTCCTGAAGGGGTTTGATCCAAATCCTTGAGCTCAGGTTCCTCTTCAACCTGAAAAAGACAGGATTTTATGATTCCACCCATTTTCTTCCACTTCATTCTCACACATTTCTTCCAGCTCATCTGGAGGACCCCAGGGCGATCCCAGGTCTGCAGAGAGACATAGTCCCTGCAGCGTTTCCCGGGTCTTCCCCTGATCACCTCCTGGTAGGATGTGCCCGGAACACCTCCCCAGGGAAGAGTCAGGAGACACAGGTGCCTGAGCCACCTCAACTGGTTCCTCTCCTCGTGGAGATGCAGTGGCTCTAGTCTGAGCTCCTCGCGTGTGATGGAAATCCTCTACGCAACCTCAAAAAACAACGCCGTCAACTTGAACGCCTTCACAATAAAACCGGTTTCACTGTTCATCTCCAAGCCCTCAATGACCACACCTTCCTCTACAGATCTGCTCTTTTCACAGCCCGCACTGCTTTCTATACTGAAATGATTACCTCTGGCTCCTCCAATCCCCGAACCCTGTTTTCCACAGTCAACAAACTTCTTAAACCACCGGACAGTATAACTCAATCCTTTACCACGGAAAAAGGCAATATCTTTCTCACATTTTTCAAATCCAAAATCGACAATATCCACCAGCAGCTCACCACAACCCCCGTTCCTGTCATACCTGACCCATCTCCCCAAAACTGTAAGCCCCCTCTCCCACCTGTCACCTATCTCAGAACCAGATCTCCAAAAGTTATTTACTAATATTAGATTCTCCACTTGCCCCCTGGACCCCATCCCTTCGTCTTTTGTCAAATCATGCCTCCCGTCTCTCAGTCCCCTCATTTTAGAAATAATCAACTCCTCTCTCACCTCTGGTACCGTGCCCCCCGCCTTCAAGATGGCAACCATCACACCCATCCTCAAAAAACCAAACCTGGATCCTGACAACCCCAACAACTTTTGCCCCATCTCCAACCTTCCCTTTCTGTCTAAAATCCTCGAATGATCTGTCGCTGCTCAACTCAACCACCATCAACTCCAACTCACTCTTTGACAGATTTTAATCCGGATTTCGTTCCCACCCCAGCACTGGAACAGCACTGCTCAAAGTCACCAACGACCTCCTCCTCACCTCAGATTCTATTGACCACTCCATCCTCCTCCACCGTCTCCAGTTCACCACTGGCATCACCGGCTCTGCACTCTCCTGGTTCTCATCCTACCTCTCCAACAGATCTCACTACATCGCCATCAACAACTGCTCATCCCGCTGCATCCCGGTCACCCACGGAGTACCTCAAGGCTCGGTGCTTGGTCCCCTCCTTTTCATTCTTTACATGCTCCCCCTTGGCCACATCATCCACCATCACGGTTTCAAATTCCACAGCTATGCAGACGACACTAATCTTTACCTCTCAGCCAAATCCATAACCCCTGCCACCATCTCCTCCATCACAAACTGCATATCCGCAATAAAATCCTGGATGTCCACCAATTTCCTCCAACTCAACTGCAAAAATTCAGAAATTATCATTATCGGCCCCAAGTCCCTCCTTTTCAATACCCAGCATTTCACACTCTCCATCGACAGCCACACCATCTCACCGTCTGCTCAGATCAGAAACCTCGGAATCATCCTTGACCCCACCCTTTCTTTCAAGCCCCCCATCCGCAACATCACCAAAACTGCCTTCTTTCATCTTAAAAACATTGCCCGTCTTCGCCCATATCTGTCCTCCACCGCTGCTGAAACCCTGATCCATGCTTTCATATCCTCCAGACTCGACTTCTGCAACAGTCTTTCATACGGCCTTCCTTCATCTGATCTCCAAAAACTACAATATGTCCAAAACTCCGCCGCCCGCCTCCCCAGTCAGAGCCGCTCCAGAGAACACATCACCCCTGTCCCCCATAAACTCCACTGGCTCCCCGTTAAACAGCACATCCATTTCAAAATCCTCCTCATCAACTACAAAGCCCTCCGTAACCACGCTCCTCCACACCTCACTGAACTTCTACAGCCCTACAGTCCCTCCCGTCGACTCCGATCTGCAGACTCACATCTCCTCACTCCCACGTCAAATCCAAGCAACGAACCTTTGGGGACCGAGCTTTCGCCATCTCTGCTCCCACTCTCTGGAACTCTTCCCCCCTCATCTCAGAAACTCGGACTCTCTAAACTCCTTCAAAAAACAGCTCAAAACTCACCTTTTCCTCCAAGCATTTGACTCTTAGTTTAAACTTCCTACCCTTCATTCCCACTCGTAGATTTTTAGTTTTGTGTGTCTGTTTAAGCGTGTGTGTGTGTGTGTGTCATGAATTTGTAAAGCGTCTGAGTTCTTGAAAAGCGCTATATTAAGGAAAAAGAGGGCTGCATGAGACCGCTTAAAAGTTAAATGAACTGGAACTGTAAAGGATTTTGTGTTGATAGGGGGCAGACATAAGTTTTTACTTCTTTCTGCTCCTTTTCATTCATGCTAAATGCTGTTGTTGCATTTGTTTTTAAATGAATGAAATAAATAAAAAAATGAAAAAATGAAAATGAAAAAAAATGAAATATTAAACCGATGTATTATTATTTATTATTATTATTGTTATAAAGCGAGCGCCCAGCCACTCTACGGAGGAAGCTCCTTTCAACGCTTTTTGCAGGCATGGATCGCTTTCTAGGGCACCAAATAATTCAGAGGGGGTTTGAGGCAAAATTATATATCAGGACATATCAGCGCACCTCATTACACTCTAAAAAGCTTTTTTGAAAAAAAAAATGTGAAAAGCTTTGAAAAAGCAGAAGCAGGACTATAACAAACTCAAAAGACAATTGGAGTGGTTCCGACCGTTAAAAAAATGAATAACAAATGTTGCAATCAAAACTCATGATGTTGCAGACGGCTTCGACCTGTAGATGTCCCACCCCCCTCCTTATACCAACAAGTCCTGTGGTGGAAATGCAACTATTGACCGGTAAATCAAGAGCTTTGCCTTTCGGCGCAGCTCCCTCTTCACCACTACAATCTGATACAGCTCTGACTGCAGACACTTCTCCCTCTTCAACATAAGACTCTGTTACAACTCCAGTGTTTCCCACACATAGACTAATCTGTGGCGCACCGCCACAGATTAGAGACCGCCCGCCACAAATTGCGTTTCGTATTATTATATATATATTTTTTTTGTTACGCTATTTAAAACATGCATCGTCTAGTGCCGTCGCAGCGGTCAATTTGACAGCGGGGAGGGGGGTTTAAAATGTGGCGGCCCTTCGTAACTCTCACTCAAGCTACGCGTCTCTCCCACATACAGAGACCTACACATGAAGCCCCTCCCCTTCGTGCACACCGCGTGTCTCCGTCTCCATCAGCGATCATCGCTGTAAGCAGCTGTGTCTATTAATTTTGGTGCAGAGAAGACGGCTGGTGAAGTTCACTAAAGGTTGGTATCCCGTGATCTCGTAAATCACACATTAAAAAGTGCTGAATGTTCAGTGTCAATGTTGAATTTCCGTCCCGACTCCCTTAACAAGCGATGACGCTTTCTTTATAAAGTTAATTAGTCGCAAGTTTGCGGTATGTAGTTGGGTTGTCGGGGTCAAAACACTATGTAGCAGCTGTAGCAAGAAATAAAGTTATAAGTAACGTTATGTCATTTTTTTACTCTTACACTGAATGTTTGCTGCTTCAATCCAGATGAGTATTGAACAATATTTTCCGCGATTGAAAAAGACACGCGTTGAGGATGAGGATCAGCCTGAACCAGAGGTATCGGTCTGAAACAGTCCGCAGTGTAATTAGCTATATAAGTTGTTTACAATATTTTCAGGCTTCAACCAGTGCTGCTCAAGCAGAAAGACAGGGTCAGGGAGAGAACGAGATAGAATTGATTGAAGAAAGAGTAGAGGAGGACGGCATCCAACATGCTGCTGTGACAGAGTCAGCTGAAGCAACAGGTGAGGTGGACAAACGGATACAGAAACAGGCAGGTAAGAAAGCAGGTATCAGTTCAAGGGAACTCGTTTCTATTGTTCTGTTTAGATAGTACTTTGGCAACATCCAAAAGCACCAGACACAGGGCCACGGGATTCAACAGGGAGTGGTTGAACATGCCTCAGTTCAACTCATGGTTATACAACACACCGCATGGTAAGCTTAATGTCTGCATAATATGCTATCCTTTACATATATTAAAACTTTTTTTTATTGATTATTCTTTTCCATTTATGATTTTTTTAACACAGTGTGACTGTGGAATGTCTGACTATTTAGCTAATTTCATTAATTATGATGTCTTTTTTTATATTGGTGCATTTTGCATTGATAATAATTTATCATTTTGCTTTATCTCCAGGTGAAAACAGACCTCAGGAACAAACTGCAAGGAGAACACCTGGTAGCTTGCTTGAGGATCTCCATCAATGGACCCTGTCCTGAGGACTTCCCTTATGATATGGCATTAAAATCTTTTTTTCGCCAGCCCCGAAAAATCAGGTGCTCTGATAAAACATGCAAACTTTGCAACAAGTAGGTTTATACAGCGTTAACAGTATTTATAGTGTAATATACAGCGTGTGAATAATGTTTGATATTTTGATCAGTCCAATAAAGCTGTATTTGACCAATTAACGATGTCATTGTTAATTTTTGCCGACCAGCACCCCCCCCCCCGACGACCACCACACATTGCCTTCAAATCTGTGGGAAACACTGAACTCTAACACAACGATCGTCAATCTTACGCACCATCCTTCCCTCACTGTGAACAAGACCCCAAGACTAGAACTCCGCTTCAGGAAGGACCTCTCTGGACCAGGACTGTATTTGTAGAGACCACAGGACCTCACCTCAGCCTCCTGCTTCTGGGGCTCCTCACTCTTTGGGACAGGCTCGGCCTCCTTCCCCACAGCAGACTGAGGAGGTGTCTGCTTGTCCTCTGCCTTCGGAGCTTCAGTTTCAGGTTCTACTGAACACAAACACAACATATAAATATATATATAAAATATATGGTTTGACAGTGATTATTAATAAAGAGTTTATTTATAAAGCACTAATAAAAACAACATGGTTGACCAAAGTGCTGTACATAAAAAGACATACACAAATATACATTTTAAAAATACAAAACAGTGGCAAAAAAACAAACACTATTTACAGCAAAAAATCCATTGAAATCAATTAAAAGCCAATGAGAACAAGTGTGTCTTAAGACGAGACTTAAAAACAGGAAGTGACTCAGACAGTCTCACACACAGGGGCAGCTCATTCCATAGTTTAGGACCAACAACCGAAAAAGCTCGATCTCCTCTGAGTTTTCGTTTAGTCGGAGGAACCCAGAGCAGAGCCTGATCTGCCGACCTAAGCGAACGTGATGGAGCATAGGACGTCAGTAGGTCAGACAGATAGCGCGGAGCAAGGCCATTCAGGCATTTATAGACAAACAGAAGGACTTTAAAATCAATCCGGTAGCGAACAGGAAGCCAATGAAGTGATGACAGCACTGGAGAGATATGGTCAAACTTCCGAGTTCCTGTTAACAGACGCGCCGCAGCGTTCTGTACCAGCTGCAGACGAGCAAGTGAGGGCTGGCTGATCCCTGTGTACAAGGCGTTACAATAGTCCAGCCGAGTTGTAACAAAAGCGTGAATTAAAATTTCAAAATTCTGTCTTGAAAGGGAGGACTTTATTTTAGCAAGTTGCCTTAAATGGAAGAAACTAGACTTCACTACTGCACTTATTTGTTTATCAAATTTAAAATCAGCATCCATTTTCACTTCAAGGTTTGAAACTATGGGCTTAACAAATTGTGTTAGAGGTCCCAGGTCCACGGAGCTACTGCTGCCATTGCTGGGCCCGACCAGCAGAACTTCACTCTTTTTTTCATTGAAATGCAAAAAGTTTGCTGCCATCCACATTTTGATTTCAGATATGCACTCGAGAAGTTCGGTGCTGCAAAAGTTATTGCTACGCTTAAGGGGCACATAGATTTGGCTGTCATCTGCGTACAGGTGGAATGACACCCCAAACCTCCGGAGGATAATTCCTAATGGCAACAGATATAACGAAAAGAGGAGTGGCCCAAGGATGGACCCTTGCGGCACCCCACACGACAGGGGGGCTGTGGAGGAAACAAAGTCACCAACTCTCACACAGAAACTCCTCTCAGATAAGATCGGAACCATTCCAGAGCATAGCCCTGAATGCCGACTGAGTGTTCAAGGCGACACAGGAGGGTTTCATGATCCACTGTGTCAAATGCGGCGGTCAAGTCCAGCAGTACTAGCGCCACCGTGTGGCCAGAGTCAGTGGACATCAGGATATCATTATAAACTCGTAACAACGCTGACTCTGTACTGTGGAGGTTCTTGAAACCAGATTGGAACACCTCAGGAATCTCATTTTCATCCAGAAATGACTTCAGCTGGGCAAAGACGATCTTTTCCAAGATTTTGGACACAAACGGAAGTTTTGATATTGGACGATAGTTTGAAGGATCATTTGAATCAAGGCCAGAATTCTTAATTAATGGTTGGACAACAGCATGTTTAAAACTGGCAGGCACCACTCCATAATCAGGCTATTATTCACAATGTGCAAAACAAAAGGAGCTATAGTGAAAAACACTTCTTTGAATAGGCGCGGTGGGATGGGATCATCCGGTGAACCAGCCGGCTTCATTTGACTGACCACCGTTGTCAAGCAAGAGAGTGTCACAGGCTCAAACTGAAGAAATACAGCTGTACAGGTCACAAATACAGAAGAGCCAGCCGGTGTAGGGCCGATTAAGGCCCTATTGGCCACAACCTTATTTATAAGTGTGAAGCGAGTTTTTCACAAACTATAATTGATGCTTCAAGGCTATCTGAAGGGGGGACATTAAGAGCAGCATTTACCATACTATAAAGAACACGAGGGTTGTTCCTGTTGGATGTGACAATATCATAGAAATACCGTGCCTTAGCAGATTTGACACATTTCTGATAATTGTGTAGACTGTCAATTAAGATTTGATAGGAAATTTGCAGTCTATCCCTTTTCCATCTTCGTTCCGCTTTTCTGCATTCACGTCTAGCTGCGCGAGTGGACTCATTTAGCCATGGCTCAGAACTCGGCTTGGGACGCCTTGGTCTGAGGAGCCACATGGTCTAAAATGGACCGACAGGCAGCATCAAAACAAATAGAAAAACCTTCACTATCACAGTCAAACCCAGAATGAACGGCCAAATGGGACTGGTCAAAGGCAGCAGAAAACTGAGCGACAGTGGCTGAGTTAATTACCCGACAATGACGCGCTGGAGCGCACTGTTTTACATTGCACAGGAGAGGTACATCAAAGAAAATTGGCATATGATCAGAAAAAACCGCATCACAAATTTCCAGATTACATACTGAAATGCCATAAGCCAGGGGTGGCCAACCCGCGGCTCGTGAGCCGCATGCGGCTCTTTGGCTGATTCCGTGCGGCTCTCGGGCTTTCACATGACAAGCGTCAAAAACGCCTCGGTTGTGGCGCTGCCATTCATTCTCTATGTAGTTCTGACCCATAGTAAAGGCCAACTTCACTCCACTAGCCGGGCCGCCAAAACAATCTGACGTCGGCGAACGTCAATTCTGATTGGTCAGTCACTCTGCAGCTGCTGCCTCAGCTGTTGCAAATATCAAAACAAACAACACGTTGCCTCGACCCATGGCGTCCGTACGGAAAACAGTTCCTTGGTCGCTGGATGAGGGCAACACCTTCCTCAGTTTGAGGAGAGGACACCAGTGTGAGCTCGATGGTTCCACCAGAAACCAGATGGTGTTTGTGGAGCTAGCGCTAAGGACGGAGCAGAATGATTCCCACGAACATCACAATGCAGAGAAAAATTAAAAAGCTTAAAAGTGACAACCGTGAAATGAAAGATCGCAGCAGCAGAAGTAGAGGCAGAACCGAAAAGTCTGGAGGTGGTTTGACCAAATGGATTAAATTTACGGACATCGGCTAACACCGGCTAACATGCTAACACCAGCTAACACCAGCTACACCAGGAGATAAGCCTCAACTCTGCCTGGTGAGTGTCTGTCTTCAATCAAATGCAAAAGTATCTGGTCTTATACTGAACATGTGTCTGTGGTTCTAAATCAGCTAACGTGGTGTTGGTGTTATGTGTCAAATCTATATATTTTACTAAACGCAGTCAGAGTGAATCATTGTTCATTAAAGACAGTTGTGTTTCTGCTGAATACTGGTTTGAAACTCGATTTTTTTTCTTGGTTAGAGATTGAAAGCATTCATTTCGGAATCATGATTGATGTTCGCTGACGTGAGATTGTTCTGGTATCGACTCGCCCGGTTAGAACCAGGGCCAAACCATTAATAAAAAGTACTGGGGAGCGGCTAAAGCGAGCGGTGGAAGCGCCCGCAAACCGGGGAGAGTCGAGTCCAGCCCTTTAGTACTGTAGGAGTAAATTTCTGTCATTATCATGTTGATGACATTTACAATACATCTGTCTGAGCAGAGCACACCTCTCTCTGCTCAGACAGATTGCATGTGTGTGCGCGTGTCTGCTCGAGTGCGTACGTGCGTGTGTGCGTGCGTGTGTAAGGGTTGGGGTGATGTTTATGTAGTGCACATTTGTATGATGTGGCTCTTTGCTGTAATACAGTAAAAAAATTGGCTCTTAGTCTCTGACTGGTTGGCCACCCCTGCCATAAGCTAAAACAAGGTCCAAAGTATGTCCATGTTCCTGCGTGGGCCCGGAAACATACTGCACAAAGTTAAAAGTCTCAACCAGGTCAAGGAAGTCTTTAACCATTGGTTTATCAGCGCAGCACACATGAATATTAAAATCACCCACAATCAATATTTGGTCAAACTTAGGCACTACTTCAGCCAAGAAATGGGAAAAGTCACTTATGAAGTCTTTGTTATATTTGGGTGGTCTGTACACAACTGCGCACAGAATGGGTGGATCAGAAGCCAAAACAAATGTGCTTATTTCAAAGCTTGACACGGGGGAATCCACAGCAAACTGTGCACACTTAAAGTGTTTTTTAAAGACAGTCGCTGGTTTTGTTTACCAGCGATCTGGCATTTACCAGCGCTTTCCTGGCTGGAGCCACTGGAGCCTTCACATTAGCTCCCGCGCGGAGCAGTGGCCTCAGATTGTGACAGTTCAATCCTCGCCGCTGTAGAGGCGAAGCGAAACGGCGGGTCCGTATCCTCACGTCCTCCTCCGCGCCAACCACAGGAACCAGGTAGCGAACCGCGGGACGCCTTGATCCAAAGCGGGCATCCTCCGTGGCAGAAAACAGCCTAGCTTTTTGCTTCACCAGCCTTCCACTGCGCTTCCCTCTGCGTCTACGGCGCGCCCTCCACGAAGGTAGAGCCGGCACACAGCGGAGGTAAGCCGGGATCCCAGACAGGAAAAGTGGGAAAGTGCTTCCATGTCCCTCACGATCAAAATTCACAAAATGCTGGGCCGAAACGTGAATATCCAGTAGCGTCTGCCTATCATAAGTCAGCAAAGAGTTGACTTTTGCTCTAACAAGTGCTAGGATTGCCACAAACAAAATAAAAGAGCGCAGAGACAGACAGCAAGCCAAACACACTGGCGCCATACTGCCCTCTACAGCCTCTCCCCAGGGTGAGTCATAATTAACTCAGGATGAATGTCACATTTGCACCAGTATTAAATGTCCCTTTGGGCTGTGATTCTGACTCTGATGGATGTCCAGTGAGAAAACATCTCGTTTTCTACACTCAAAGCAGCTGCCTCTGTTCTCCCTGCTACTGTGCGTGTGCATGCCACGAGCCGTGAGTCTACTAAGTTTAGTTTTTGCTGCATGTGCTCGGACAAAACAATCTGAGGGTTTGGCTCGAGTCCAAAGGCACGTGTGACACTGACCTTGGGACTGGTTGATGGAATAAACTGAGGTGATGTGCGGGCCAGGATCTGCGGCAGCACTGGGTTTGGGCTCTGGTTTGGCCTCAACCTTGGTCACGGAGACGGTCTTGGGCCTGGCGGTATTGGTGGACGTGGGGCCCATGCTGCTGGAGCTGAACAGGATCCCGAACAGGTCTTGGGCTTTGGCGGCCGCCATGCTGGTGCTGAACTTCTCAGTCTTGGGGCCAGAGCTAAGGCCTGTCACAAACACAACTGTATTTAAACTGCGGTGTTGTGTGTGTGTGTGTGTGTGTGTGTGTGTGTGTGTGTGTGTGTGTGTGTGTGTGTGTGTGTGTGTGTGTGTGTGTGTGTGTGTGTGTGTGTGTGTGTGTGTGTGTGTGTGTGTGTGTGTGTGTGTGTGTGTGTGTGTGTGTGTGTGTGTGTGTGTGTGTGTGTGTGTGTGTGTGTGTGTGTGTGTGTGTGTGTGTGTGTGTGTGTGTGTGTGTGTGTGTGTGTGTGTGTGGTTCATACTTGTGTTCATGAATGGTGCCGGCTTCACGTACACCCTCTTGGGCTCTGGGGCGGGGGGAGGGACAGGCGGGGGGGCGGTCGGTGGGACGGTTGTTGGTACGAAGCCCTGAGGAGGCAATATCAGCGGGGGAGGGGGGATACTCGGGTTGATGGGCGGCATTGAAGGAGGCGGGAAGTTGGGGTAAGACGGGGGAGGGAAAGAGGGCGGGGCAAAGGAGGGGGGAGGAAATGCAGGGCTAGCCACCACCACAGGCGGTGTGGCTTGCCCCTGATTCGTGGGAGAAGTCAGAGAACTGGGCGTTGGCATGGCAATGGGGGCGGTGCCTGACGGGGTGTTGGGGGTGTTTACTCCGTTGGCCCCTTTCCGATTGGTCAGACCCGGCCGGATCTTGCCCCAGGCGGGAGGGGCCTGGCTCAGCTTCTCTGCAATCTCTTTGGCGGCAGCCATAGACTTTTGGAAGGCGTCCTCATCTGGGCCGGCCTTCTGGGTGGCTGCCTCGTCCTCCTTGATGAACGCAGCGGCAACTTTCTGAGCCTCCTTCATCAGGACGCTCTCCTTCCTCTTCCACGTGAACTTGTTGAATGTGGCAGCTGCGGCGGCGGCAGCTGGGGACGTTCCAGGCAAGCCTGAAACATGAGGAATACGAGATCAGAAACGTGTAATCAAGACCAGTGGTCTGTCCTCCCTCTGTCCTCCCTCTGTCCTCCCTCTGTCCTCCCTCTGTCCTCCCTCTGTCCTCCCTCTGTCCTCCCTCTGTCCTCCCTCTGTCCTCCCTCTGTCCTCCCTCCGTCCTCCCTCCGTCCTCCCTCCGTCCTCCCTCCGTCCTCCCTCCGTCCTCCCTCAGTCCTGCCTCAGTACCTGCTTTGCCTGCGTCCTGGCTCTGCTTCTTCAGTTTGGCTCTCATAGCCGGACTTGGGCCACACATAACCTTGGGCGGGTCGTACGGTCGGGAAGGATGCTCGGGCTCCTTCTTGGGCTCGGGTTTGTCTTTCTTGTCGTATTTGGACTTTGTCTCGTACTTCCCTTTGCGATCATCGTCCCTGTAGTACTTTGAGGACTTCTCGTAGCGGTCATCGTAGCGGTCTTCGTAGCGGTCGTCGTAGCGGTCGTCATAGCGGTCGTCATGACGCCGGCTCTTTTTGTACACGTCATAGCGGCGGTAGCGCTCTCGCCGGTCCTCTTCCTCGCGGCTGTAGTTGCGGCTCTGGTACTTGTCGTCCTTGTCCTTGTTGTCCTTGTCCTTCTTGGGTTTGGGGACCTTCTCGTCTTCGTCTTTGAACACTGGTTTCTCCAAGGGCTTCATGGGCTTGTTCTCCACTTTGATCTCCAGCTTTGGAAGCTTGGGCGGCTCTGCAGGAGGAGGCCTCATGTCGATGGTCACCTCCAGTTTGGGAAGGTCGAGTTTGGGTTTCTCCAGAGGCCGTGGGGGCTCCAGGGGGCGTGGCGGGCTGAGGTCCTCCAGCTCCACAAACTTCTTCTTCACTTTTAGCTCTGACTTTGGCTCGGGCTCCACCTTAGGAGGCATGATCTTGGGCTCATCTGGTTTGCGCTTCATGCCGGCCTGCCGGTCCAGGTTACGCCGCTGCTCATACATGGGGTTCACCAGAAGAGCTTTCTGTAAACACAAGAGAACACATCACCCCAGTGTTTAGAACCTGTTTGGTTTGTGATCTTGTGTGCTCAGGCGTTACCTTGTACTTCTCGTTGTGCGCATGCTTGGTCACATGATCTTCGGCACAGATTGCGTCTCCGTAAAACTCTTTGCACAGGAGGCAGTAGAATCCTCTGACCGGAATCATGAACTCTGACCCTGAAAACGGCACAAAAATAAAACTGAGTGTTCGAGGAAAGCCGAACAGAGAAACGTGTTTACCTGCGTCTGCTAATTCTGAGAACCTGAAGAAAACAGCCACAACAAAACCATTCACAGAAAATGAAAAGAAGTTACAGAACAATGAATGTGATTTAGACAGCTGCGTTCTGGGAGTCGTAGTTTAGATCTGAAATGAAGGCGTTACATGTGGTAGTGTTTGGCGGGTTTGCCTCCGGCACTAAAACAAGTTTAAACTGGAACAGAACAATGTTGTGTCTTGGTAAAATGCATCTTGGGAGTCGTAGTTTACGTTTATTGCTCCTTGTTGGGTGCAGTTTAAGAGACGCAGATCCATCCTGGAAAAGGGAGATGCTGAGCGCGGGGTTCTCTGGGGCCAAAGCACCGGCACACACATAATATTCAGGATAAACACATGTTCAAACAGGTATTCACCTTTAGCCGGCTTGGTGAGCCTCTCCACCATGGGGTCGGTCTTGGCTTTAGTGGGAGCCGCAGCCCACGGGCGGAAGTACGGATCCAAAGTCTGCGGAGCGAGAAACACTTTACTCACGTTCATTTGGTGGAAACATGTTGAGCTCAGAGCCTCACAGATGCAGAGGAGTTTGCAGACACTGTGGAGGCTGGTAATGTCACGTAATCATATTATCATACTTCATTATGTAAAAGAGGTCCCAACCTTGCGGTGAGCCTTGCTGTGCAGGTGTGTGTAAAAGTCGAACATAGATCCACACGTCACGTTGCAGCTTTTGCACCAGTGGTTTCCAGCATCATAATATTCAAATGGCTCTTCCACCACAGGGGGCGGGGGTGTGGCCGCCTTCCGAGGTGGTGTGGTCTTCTGAGGTGGTGTGGTCTTCTGAGGGGGCGTGGTCTTCTGAGGGGGCGTTCTTCCGAGGGGGCGTGGTCTTCCGAGGGGGTATGGGTGATTTTTCAGGAGACTAAAAAACATTTTTACCAAATGTTTAATGCTGGTTTGGGTTCAGTCATAAATGTGTAAAGTGAGCAAAATCTTCCCACCTGATAATGCTGAGGAGCAGTCAAATTTAACTTTCTCACCGTTTCACCTCAGGACCCACATATACCTTTCTCACTGTTTCACCTCAAGAGTAGTGGTGGGCAATAAATATTGTAGGCGATAATATCATGAAAGTAACTCTGACAATAAGCTTTGTCACATTATCGAGTATACTGGCTTTCTTTCACTTTTGTTGCAACAAAAGTTTTTGTTTGCCTTCTCTGTGCTGCGCTCGCTCCCACATGCTGTTTCTCCCCCTCCCCTTGCGTATGTCTCATTCAAGACGCGGCGCCCGTTAAGCTAGCTGCATAGATGTAAACATTCTCATTTAATAAGGGTTTTTTATCTTAAATCTTGCAGAAGGACTTTGTTCCTACAGTGGGGCAACAAAGTATTTAATCATCCATCAATTGTGCAAGTTCTCTCACTTAAAAAAGTAGGCCTGTAGTTTTCATCATAGGTATACATCGAATGTGAGAGACAGAATGAGAAAAAAGAAAATCCAGAAAGTACTGTATTAATTATGGTGGATTATAAATATTCGGTCACCTACAAACAAGCGATATTTCTGGCTCTCACAGACCTGTAAGTCCTTCTGACGCTCCTCTGTCCTCTTGTTACCTGTATTAATGGCACCTGTTTGAACTCGTTATCAGTAGGAAAGACACCTGTCCACAACCTTAAAGGAATAGTTCACCGTTTTTACATACTGACATATGTTCTTACCTTACCTTAGACTAGTTAATACGTACCTGTCTGGTCTTAGTCCGTGCGCTCTGTCATGCAAACGGAGCAAAAACGGGAGCACAAACGCAGCCTCCTCTGTATACTGTGTAGGACCAAAAGGTAGCTCCCGCTAGAAGCTACCAAACTCTTCCAAGTGTTCCCTATTAAATGTATATAGTTACGTGACGTGTTACATTGCTGTGTTACTATACTTTGCAGTGTAACAGTCGATTTTCTCAGCGGATAAAACGGGTACTATATTGTGAGGCGTAGTAATCTGAGGAGCGCTACGTCCGCGCACTAACTTCTCTCCGGAGACTTCTCTCTCGCTGCTACTGTGTGTATTACAAGTCACGCTGCTTCTATTGACGGAAGTGAGCGAGAGAGAAGTCTCCGGAGAGAAGTTAGTGCGCGGACGTAGCGCTCCCCAGATTACTACGCCTCACAATATAGTACCCGTTTTATCCGCTGAGAAAATCGACTGTTACATTGCTGTGTTACTATACTTTGCAGTGTAACACGTCACGTAACTATATACATTTAATAGGGAACACTTGGAAGAGTTTGGTAGCTTCTAGCGGGAGCTACCTTTTGGTCCTACACAGTATACAGAGGAGGCTGCGTTTGTGCTCCCGTTTTTCCTCCGTTTGCATGACAGAGCGCACGGACTAAGACCAGACAGGTACGTATTAACTAGTCTAAGGTAAGGTAAGAACATATGTCAGTATGTAAAAACGGTGAACTATTCCTTTAAACAGTCACACTCCAAACTCCACAAAGGCCAAGACCAAAGAGCTATCAAATTACACCAGAAACAAAATTGTAGACCTGCACCAGGCTGGGAAGACTGAATCTGCAATAGGTAAGCTGCTTGGTGTGAACAAATCAACTGAGGGAGCAATTATTAGAAAATTGAAGACATACAAGACCAATGATTGAGACCTTTGTCAATTGTCTATAACAAAGTATTGAGATTAACTTTTGTCATTGACCAAATACCTATTTTCCACCAAAATTTGCAAATAAATTCTTTAAAAATCAGACTAAGTGATATTCTGGAATTTCTTTCTCATTCCGTCTCTCATAGTTGAGGTATACCCATGATGAAAATTACAGGCCTCCCTCATCTTTTTAAGAGGGTGAACTTGCACAATTGGTGGCTGACTAAATACTTTTTTGCCCCACTGTATATGCACTGTTCCTTCCTATATGCACATTGAGTTGAGTAGTTTTATTTTTGAATGAAGAAAAAGCAATATTTATAATTGTTAAATTTATTTCACAGTTAAACTATCATTTTCGTGTACAGGGAATTAAAACAATCGTGACAGTCATTTGTTGAACTGGTTTGAGATTCAATAAAATAAAGACTGGAAATTGGCATGTTTGTATTTGGGGGTTAGTTATCCTGTAAAAAATATTGTTATATATTGTAAATCAAGATTTTTTTTCCTTATCCATATTGTCTAGCCCTATGCAGGAGCCACATTTATACAGTCCTCATGGCGCTCTATTGCACGGACAGTGCCTGGTCTCACAAGACCTAAGCCGAAACCAGAGCTTTACAAACTGCTTCCATTTGCACATCTGCATAACCTCGCAGCTCACAATATCAAAACTTTAATGCGACTGCGTCTCACAAGAACAGAACACCCAGCTCAAGTTAAAAAGACGTCTGCCCCAGTCACGGCAAAAAGCAAACATCAGGGAAGAAACATCTATACTGACCTTGGCACTGCTGCGTCTCCTCTCGGGGGTCCGGTCTCTCTTCTCGGGAGTCCGGTCTCTCCTCTCTGGGCTCCTGTCTCTCCTCTTCTTGCTCGGCGGTTCCCTCTCTGTAGATTTTCGTTGTCGGTCACCCGGGTTCAGGCCAAAAATGACCGCCACCTTCTCGATTTCCGTCCGCTTCTTCTCTGCAGCCTCATGTTCCCGCCGCAGGGATGAGATCTGGGACATCACTTCCTCTTGCAGACGGCTGATTTCCTGCAGCAGGGGGTCTTTGTGGCCGTCCTTCTCACGCCGCTTCTTCCTCAACAGCTCCCCTACAGGACAGGTGAGGAAATACAGCTGTAACAAGGTGAGGCAGGGATGGAGCAATAGCACTAGCATCAGCAGGAGTAAAGGGGTGTTCAGATCGGATCTTGCGTTTTGGCGTCCGTTCGAGTGTGGAGCAGAAACGACACACACAGGAGGTGAACATCGCTGAACTGTGTACGCTGGTTGCACGTGAAACGACCAATCAGAGAGCTGCAATGTGGTCACGGGGACATTAGCGGTCTAGCGAACGGACTGAAAATACTTTTAAAAGTTATGGCGCACCTCCGTGAACACATAAGCCTAGAGAAGTCGCGCTGAGCTTACAGTGGTGACGTGACGTCACTTGACCAACACAAGGATCACCGCAAGACCCTTGGGTAGCCACCCTGCTCTCTCGAAATGTTCCAACTATGCAGCCGGCGCCGCAGAGAAGCTCCGCTGTGATTGGTCCGTGTGTGTGTGGATGGAAGCATGGAGCGGCTGAGGGGAGCATGGACAAGGCACTTCAGGCTCAGAGCCCGTTATACGCGGTGACTGGACTGTTCAGTTCTGTTGCATATTAAACTTATAAACTGTGCAGTCGTTTCTTTTGCACTGCTCCCGTCTTTGTTTGAATCTGCACTTTTAGCTTATCAAGCATTCCTTGCATTCTTCCTGCACTTATAAATAGTTCATGTTTGGTCTCATATCTACCACTTATTGCATTGCTGTTTGTGCACAAATACACTTTAATAATAACTGTTACCATCCAGAACTGAGTCTTTATTCACAGCATCACAGTTAAATGAGTTATGAAACAATGAGTCCATAGAACTATCACATAAACCTACACTGGATACACATTTAATGAGCTCAAAAAGAGAAAGTAACTCCTGTGAGATCGCCATCACATGGTTGGGTGAGGGATTACAAAATTATCTTAAACTCTGAAGGGGGAACACGCGAGTGTACGAGCAACTGTGGCAACCTAGGTCCAGCAAAACGGCAAACTTAAACAGCGCCGCGCGAGTGTACACTAGGTCTCTGGACACAGAAATGCTGCAGAGCTTCATTCTTGGAGAAGAACTTTACACAAAAAGCTGCTGGCTTAACTCTGTTGGCCTCAAAGCCCGCCCGCCTGCCACTTCCACCCTGCATTTTTTCCCACGGGAGGCCAAGACTTCTGGTCTGAACACCCCTAGGTCTAAAATTTAGGGAACGTGCGTCCAGTGCGCGTGGAAGCTGAGTTCCGGCGTCGGCGGTCTGAATGCCCCATGACATCAAGAGGTGAGTACCCTGCTGTTTGCGGAGGCGCTCCAGCTCCTTCATCAGGTACTCCTTCTTCTTCATCCTCACGTCTCGATCCTGTTTGAGTTTCTCCCGCTCCTCCAGGACCTGGGACACACAGAACACGTGTGAGCATCCAAGGATAAAGCTACGCTAGAATCTGAGGCTAATAGGAGTAACTGACCTTCTGCTTCTGGCTCTCGTTGTTCTGTTCATCGTTGAAGGTACAATCTTTGTCTCCATCTGAAACAGAAATAAAACCTTTTGGACGATCTGAAAGTGTCATCAGCGTCACAAAACGGTGGAGCTAAAGTACTACTGTGGCCACAGCTGTCTGGGGCAGCTCATACAGATACATTTTATGTCTCCCATCAGTCCTTTTAGCTACTGAGAACTGACAGGATCAGGCCGGGTCCAAACTGTGGATCTGTCTACACCTAAAATTTTGTCTTCTCTTTGACAAGTCTGGTGTCAGTCTGGGTCGGCTCTAGTGCATGGGTCAAGAAGAAAGAAAAGGACCTAGACCAAGTCTGGGTCTTGGGGGTCACAGGACTCACCTGGGTAGTGGCCATAGGGCATGGCGGGTGGGGGGTACATGGGAGGCCACTGTGGGGGAGGGGGGTACCCCATGTAGCTGCTGTACTGAGGAGGGTACACAGGGGGAGGGTAGGGGGGCATCATCCCATGGGCCTGAGTGGGGGGGTAGGGCAGGGTCATCTGGGCATGTGCAGGGGGGGCCACAGGGGGAACAGCCTCAGGTGTTGGCTGGTCCCGACTCTGGTCCCTGGATTCTCTGCCTTGTTTGGGACTGTAACTCCGACTGCGGCTGTGACTGGGACTGGTGCTCCTTGACCTGGGTGAGAAGAGGTTTAGGTCAAAATCAACCGAAATTACAATTCTTCATAACTGTGGGGTCCCTCAGGGGTCAACACAGGGACCATCAATATTCATTATTGTGGGGTCCCAGAATTATGAATAATGAGGGTCTCAGGCAAGCTTTATCAGCCATTTGTCATTTATATTGTACTTGCCAAATGTCAAAAGTTAGGTTACCCAAATATTTCTCAATCCAATGAGTTAACAAAAGTTTGGCAATAAAGTGGCACTAACTGTGTGGAAAATATCAAGAAATCCCCTCTCAGCCCAAAAAGTCAAATAATGACTCACAAGGCACAATGCAAAATAAAAAAATAAAAACTGCCTGTTGTGGTGTGTCCTGTTTGATTTGTTCACAATGTTTGACTTTTGTGCACAACCAACATGCATTATTAATGCAAGGGAAAATGTAGGCACCCCAGCTTTAATGTTGGGAGTTTTATAAGGAAATATGCGAAACATTAAAGCTAGCTGTGGGAGTGTGGGTCAAATGCAGACTACCGTGAGCTGTCGGAGGAGGAGTAGTGGCGTTGGCGTGCAGGTGACTTGGTCGGCCGGTTGCCTTGGAGACGCTCCTTGGTCCTGGCGGCCATCTTTGAGATGTCAGTGACGTCCAGATCCAGACCGATAGTCTGCAGCAGGTCCTGGACCTTCTCATACTCCTCTAGGGCCTGGCGCTCTCCAGGGGCCAGGGGCTCGGTGCCCGGAGGGACCCTAAATGGAACAATGGAACTAGCACCACATGTATATTTCCTTATTTCTGAGACACATTACGTTTCAGAAAAAACTAGGGCTGGGAATCGATTAAAAATATATATATATATTAATTAGAGGCTTTGAAATAAATTTTTTTAATTGCATATACATATTTGGCCTGAGAACAGTGAGAAGTATTTTTTTTTCACATGGATTTTTAGTATACCATTGACTAATGACTGAATACATAAACTTAAGCAACAAAAATATTCTTTATTTTTGTTCAAGTCCAACAGACCAGTGCAATTTTTACCATTAAGTGTAACAATACCATATTTGGAACTTTACTTCCCATCCACGGGGCCAACCAACGCGGTCTCATCAGCTTCTTTGTCTCTGAGGAGCCCACGTGAATTTAGTCTGGTTTAGTCTGCAGTAACGCGAGAAACCCGTGAGCACATGGGTCCTTCAGCTCCAAGGTAGTAATATCCAGATATTATAATAGATCCATGTTCACTGTGGTTTGTCGTTGTCTGAACTGAATTTATGCCATCCATGATTCATGTGCGTTAGTTGGTGCTCCAGTACAATCAGTTCATCTGAAACTCATCCAGTGAGAAATGTTCCGCGGTGCAAAAATAAATACGATTAAAATGCATTTTTTAACGCACTAAATTTGTGTAATTCATTAAACTTAATTAGGGCTGGACAATATATCAAAAAAATTGTTATCGTTATATTGGTGCGTTCAATATCCATATCAAAAAGATGTGCAATAAAAAAAATATATATATATTTTTTTCCTTTAAAGACAACAAAACAGACTGACACATCAACATAAAAAAATAACAAACAAAAAAGTATATAAATATATGCATTTAAAAGGTCATTAATGTTGTTCTTAATTTTTATTTTTTGTCTGCTGCGTTTCAATGCAGATTGCAATTTTAGGTGACAGACAAAAATAATATTGTTATCAAAATACTAAACACTCATAACGAAAATCTCTCTAATTTCCAATATTGTGCAGCCCTAATCTTAACGCGTTAAAGTCCCGGCCCTAGAAAAAAACATTTAACTCGTTTCCTCCATGGACGACCAGCCTTAAAGCAGAGGGGAGCTTTGTTGCCTGGGTCTCAAGTACCTGATGTACTTGCAGTACCTGATGTACTTGCAGTACCTGATGTAGTTGCAGTACCTGATGTACCTGCAGTACCTGATGTACCTGCAGTACCTGATGTACCTGCAGTACCTGCAGTACCTGATGTACTTGCAGTACCTGATGTACTTTCAGTACCTGATGTACTTGCAGTACCTGATTTACTTGCAGTACCTGGCCTCTTGAGCAGCAGTTGTGGGCTGTAGGTCTGCATACAGGTCGTCCTCTGTGACATCACCGTATACGTCCTGGTTTCTGATTGGCGGATCAGAGCCAGTGGGCGGGGCATCAGAGTCTCCATACAGAAATAGCTCTTCATCGTCAATGTCTTCTCGTTTGGTGGTGGGTTTAGCCTCCGCCGTGCGGGACTCTAACAACGCCACGATCTGCCGAAACTCTGCCTCCCCCATGTGAGGGTCTGCCTTCAGCTGAGCCAACATGGCTGCGACCGCTGAGGGCTGCAGGCCACGCACTGCCGCCACCAGCTGATCTGCCATCTTGGAAACAGAGTCTGAGGGAGGGGGGGCTCGAGGAGAGTCCAGGCTCTGAAACAAAACACACACAGGTCACACACACGCACTGGACACACAGGGGGCACTGTGGGGGGAATCTCAGACCCTGTTTAGATGGAGACGCTGTGGCAGTAAAAAGCAATAGTGGTTTGTCAGTTGCTACTTCCCATTCACATGAAGCAAGTGATTCAGGGGGGTGAAAACATAAGCGTTAAGATCCGGCCTCAGAGTGGGACAGCTCAGATGCACTGCTCAGTGGGGCACTCTTTCACACCCGTGTGAAGAAAAAGGTGTGAATTCTCTGCCGGCTATGACCCTTACTTCCCCGCACGTACATTTGGACATGCGCGATAGACCAGAACAAACGTAAACAACAATGGCAGCGGGTACACTAACAAGCTATGTGTGCTTCGAGCGCGGAGGAGAATTTGTCCCAACGAAACCACGCAAATCTCTAGTTTGAGATTCCTGCTGATGTTAAATGCATGATGTAGGGATGTACTGATCCGATATTCAGTGTCGGTATCGGGGGCTGATATGGGTATTTTGTAAGGATCGGATAATATCGGATTTGTTAAAAATGAAGCCGCAAAGCTTTCTGGGAAATTAAAAAACAACAACAGTTTACATGCCCATGCGTAGCGTACATGGATCTAAAGTTTTTCAATGCAGTGTCAATGGTTATGCACGTCCGTGCGAGGCATAGCATGTGCGGTGTGGCGAGGCAGTGGACACGGAGACCCGATGCATGCGGCGAAGGCAAGTGATGAACTTTTTCCTCCGTGCGGCTATCAGAGAGCGGCCCCACTGAGCCGTCATGGGGACACAAAACAGGAGATGAACCAGGATTTCACCAGGACTAACTATGGGGGAGACTGCTTGTGAACATATTCCTCGAGCCTCATTCCCCGTGACTGTAAACAATGCTTTGAAAAGATCGGATCGGTATCGGCAAAACAATATTTAAGAAAATCGGAATCGGATCGGATTACAAAAAGTCTGGATCGGTACATCCCTAGAATGATGTTGGTGCATTCTTTCACGTCTGTGTTGTTGAGGAGGTGAATATACTGCTGGGGGTTGCGTGTGTCATGTTGTAAAGTTCCTCTTCCCACTACTGTCCGGGCGCTAGAACTACATTGTTTTTCTTCCTCGTATGAACGCAGTGCAATTTGCATAAGGACCCTGGTCGTTTCTGTTAATTGCTTTGCAACGTCTGCACAGCGCCTCCATCTAAACGGGGCCTCACCCTGACGGAGGGGGAGTCGTCAGAGTCCACACGTCTCTTCAGAATGGACTTTGTTGGTTGTGGAACACGTTTCCTCGCCGAGCCGTCAGAGCTGGAACGACTCTTACTGCGAGCCCTGCCCCCTTTGCTGTAGCTTCGCCCACGAGAGCTGGACCTGCACAGACACAAAGTCAGAGCTTGGATTCAAGAGGTTTAAACTCGAGCCAAGATTAATACATTAATTAACTTTTCACAAAATTATTGCATTCAAATTTTTTTCACACATTTAACGCATTTTGTACTTTGGAACATTTGTCTTTGGGATGAGTTTGGCCAATTATACTTTTAACTTTTGGTAACTTCTAAGACACATCCAGCTTAAAACCCAAAAGTCAGAAGGATCCGAGGCCCCAGACAACAACAAACCACAGTGAGTGAACATGAAGAATAATGGGGCGTTCAGACCGCCGACACGTGAAGGTGACTTGCACTGGACGCACATTCACTTATTTTCAGACCTGTGTGTAAAGTACTGCCATGCAGCGGTTCACGCGGAAGTGGCGGGTGGGCTTTGATGCTAACGCGGAGCTACTGGCTTTCTGGTTAAAGTTCTTCTCCAAGAATGCAGCTCTGCAGCATCTCTGTGTCCAGAGACCTGTTTCGGTGCTTTCACACCGGATCATGCGTTGCGTCGACTTCCAATGCAAAGTCAATGGTGACAGTTCGAGCGTCGAACTGCATGTGCGTCTCGGGATGCACGCCATGGTAGAGACGCATGGACTGTGCGGTAAAGACGCAAGAGCGGAAAATCGACGCACACAGGAGATAAATATTGCTGAGCGTTTGCTAGGGACGCTCGGGCAGCGACCAATCAGCGAGCCGCAAAGTGGTCACGGGGACATTAGTGGTCTGAGCGAGCAGACTGAACATACTGTAAGCAGCCAAAACAGGAGCTACACCAGGACTAAAACCAGCGTTGACAATGGGGGACATAGTGCTTGTGAACATATGCGTGACTTTATGCAACTGCTTCGAGCGTGTTCGCCGATGCGGAAGTACAGTTTAATAATAAAATAAACGTATGGCGCACCTCCGTGAACACATACTACTGTTATATAAAGTATCTGGAAGGTCTCTGGACACAGAGACGCTGCAGAGCTTCATTATTAGAGAAAAACTTTACACAAAAAGCCGCTAGCTTAACTTTGTGAAATGTTGTGTTAGCATCACTGCAGCACCTGGAGTATCTCCCCTCATGGACATTAGCCCCTATTACAAAGCCTGCACACTGCACCAGATGACTGCTTTAAGGACCAGGTGAGTGCCTTAAAAGGTAGTCTATGCAATTTTTACAGTTGCTCCAAAAGAAAAAAACATGTTAACCAAAAACAAATGTGACTAAGAATATTTACCATGTTTCTGAATTATTGTCAAAAATTTTAACAAATCACGTTTTTGTTTCACAGGTACTACTGATATTGTTCCTTCCACCGGGCCCTGACAAGTTTGAAGTAGAACCCATGGAGGACCAATTATGTAGAACAACTACATAAAACAAAATAATTTAGAAAAATAATTCTAGATCTAGAAACACGCGTTTTAACTGCAAACTTTCAATGTCGCAAACCACACGCACCGAAAGGCAGAGTTATAAGTGCGGGTCTCCATCTTGTGTCCCCCCAAAGAGAAACCAAACTCACAAAATCAAAGCTCGGGTACCTAAAATTTACCCATGCATTTAAAGGTCCTATATCACGCTTTTCTTCATGTTTCACACTCAATCCTATACACATGTGTGATATTAATGTGTATGATACACCACACAACAATCAAAGCTTGTGAGATTAGAGCCATCTCTTGTATAGAGGTGACGTCACCTCGACTCAAACGAGCTGATCCAGAGAAGAGTCTGCTCCTCTGCCTGTGAGCCCGCCTCCCCCCGCCCGCACGCTGACGTAGCATCACGCTTTTGTCGTTTATCACCTGTACTTAGTAATTTCATACATAAGAATAAACTTCTTCCAACAATGACAATCCGTCACATCGAGCCCTATGTCCTCGATGCACAATCAGACCCTAGTTATTTAGTTTACAGAAGTATACAGCGAGTTAGCGTCACTACTTACAGATCGAGGGGGTCCGAGTTACGTCTTTTACCGTGGGAATAACGTGTTTCCAGATCAGCCTTTGAGTAAGTCCAGTTCCATTGTCCCTGTAGTTCTGGAACAGTCTCAGTGAAGTGTCGCAGATGAACCGGTATTATAATAGATCCATGAGATGAACAGATGAAAAAAGTCGAGCCGCTTTCTTCCTCTTAGGGCCAAATAGTGCGTCACATATTTACACCCATAACACACTTTATTCAAGTTGACGTGATCCTAACACTTTTAGTTTCTGACAAAAGCATAAAAACAGCAGCTCTATGTGGTGTCCGCGAGACCAGACCACAGACGCTGGACTCGGGAGCCGGAGCCTGTGCGCTCTGATTCGCTGTTTTGATCCGTCAATCACCTCCCGCCGGCTTTTAATTTATTTTTGTTTTTATTATTGTTGACAAAAAACAGCATACTAATTGTGTATTGTTTACCCCGTTTTGACAAAAGTATTTAACAACTATTTTAAATACAAAGCAAACGGGGTCATGCGCGTCATGAGTGTGGTTTTCGTCACTGAAGTGGACCCGAGCGTTTCTGTGCCTCACGCTGGGGAAGGAGACAGATACAAAAAGATCTTAGATCAAAAAGATCTCTTACAAAAGATTGACAGAATCAATGAATAAACTACTGTGGGCTTGTGTATGAAGGCCAAATAGCATTGTAATCATGTTTAAAGCAGAGAAAAGTCAAAAACCGTGATATGGGCCTTTTAACATTGCATGTTGGTTGTGCGCCAAAGTAAAATGTTGTGAACAAATCCAATAGAACACACCACAACGGGCGTCTTGATTTATATTTTGCATACTTAGGAGCCCTGGGAGTCATTATTTGACTATTTGGGCAGAGAGTGGTGTTTTTACATATTTTTCCAAACATTTAAGATAAGATAAGATTTTATTTATCTCACAAAGGAGAAATTTACATGTCACATCGGCATGGATAGAACACTAAAGATTGTGCAAAAAGAAAGAAATGTGCAAACATGTTAAATGCAGGATATATTATGTACAACAAAAGTGTCAAGTGTCAATTAACAGAGTGTCAATAGTAGTGCAGGTTCTTTCAGTCTTATACAGTGACTTAAAGGGACTTATTGTACAGTCTGACAGCGGTGGGGATAAAGGCCCTGCCACTGAAGGAGATCCTCAGCTCCTGTACAGTCCTGTGCAGTGGGTGGGAGGTGTTGTTCATGATGGAGGTGGCTTTTAGTGCCACTTTTTTGCCAAACTCTTGTTAACTCATTGTATTGAGAAATATTTGGGCAAGTGACTTTTGACATTGGGCAAGTAAAATATAAATGGAACTTATATTTTCTTTCCATGATCGAAGGTGAGGCCAGGCTTCTCCTGCCTCACGTCACTGAGCGTTGGTAAATTGGTATAGTTAGTGGTGTACTAAAATACATCAGTTAAATCCCTTATTAACGACGTTAACAAAATTACTTTTTGGCCACACATTTTTTCAAACACACTTAGAACAACTGGGAACTGGGAAACAAGAGTTGGCTGGCAGCATGCACACACACCAGCAGGGAGCACCAAAGCGTTGCTGCTGCCATCCCCATTTGTAGACCAGTGGTATCCACAGCCTCTCACTCACCTTGATTGAGACCTAGATCTGGATTGGGATCGGGATCTGGACAGGGACCGAGACTGGACACGGCCCTTGCTCCGCCTCTTACTTCTCTCGGGGGTCCGTGATTGGCTGCGCCCCCGTGACTTACTGCGTCCTCTGCTCTTGGTCCTGAACCACATTGAAAATGATCAGTATTGTTCATCAGAGCCAAAAATAACATCCATATGGGATGCTGTCGAGCTGCTCTAAACCCCATTCGCATAAACATTTGACTGGGAAATTCAGAAAGGACAGAAAGAAACTCACCTGTCTGTGCTGTGATTGGCCCTTTCGTTGCCCACGGTGATGACCAGACCAGATCGTGGAGAAAGCGAGCGCTGCAAAACGTAAGGTTGCATTTCATCATGAAGCCACATAGTGCCAGGACAAGAACCTATAATAAAGCTGAGGTCTGGAACTTTAAAACTGCAGCTGTGTTTAGCTCCACGCCGGCTCCTTCTGTCTAAACACTTTTCAAGCGTGTTACATATTTACACCACAGCTCTGATATATCAGCTCGGGACTAAATGCAAGGTAGACGCGGGGCAACAGAGGGAATGGTCAGCGTGTTGTTTAGAGAGCCTTTTCACCGGAAGAACGGGAACGTGTGGAAATAACAGGAACCCTATGAAAAATGTTTCATAATGTGGTTAGATTCACAAATCTTACCTTTAATGACATCAAACTTTCCTTGTTTATGTCTTTTGTCATTTTACTCACGGCCTTCAGATATGGCATTCACCAAAACGAGATAACACTGTCCTAACATGCCGTCCTCAGATAGAGTCCTCACGTAATGTCCCAGATGCAGCTGGATCTCAGTCCGGAAAGGAGCCCTAAGATGCTGAGGCAGACAGCAAAGAGACCTCACCTCTCGTGGGGCAGTGGAGCTCCTGGGCTGGCCATAGTGCCCGCGGGAGTCCGGTGGAGGTCCCCGGGAGTCCGCAGGGCCCCCCCGGGTGTCTGTAGGAGGGTAGCCAGCGCCGTATGGAGGCCGTGGTCCGTGTGTGGGTCTGGGGAAGCCTCTCTGTCCCCGGCCGCGGTACATGGCTCCGGGGTGGTTTGGTAGTGAAGTTGTGTTGTTGTTGTTATTGTTGTTGCGTTGTTGTTGTAGAGATGGTGTGGCTCAGCTCTCGCTCTACACGCGGCTCCGAAAACACTTCTGTGAAAGAGCTGCACCGACAAAACAAAATGGCGTCTCACTTCCTTCAGAGAATTTCCCGCCACCCCACAGCGCCCCGCGCGGACTGGGGCGGCTCTGCGCATGTCCGACATCCATGGTAACAAGCCGCCATGTTATAAAATGACAATAATAATATAATAATAATATTCAATAAATCTAAATTACCCGGCAACGGATAAAGCGGAAGAAAATGGATGGATGGATGGAAATCTAAATTAAGTTAAGGTCCTTGTAGGTATATGTGTCATATACTTTTAAGCTGTGCTTTAATGCCACTTGGACTTATGTCAAGAGCTTTACGAATAATACACAAAACTGCACCAAGAGAACATACAACTGAACTATTTTTTAAGTCAGGACTGTTTAAAATGAAAGATTTAATTGTATTACAGACATTAATTTTGTTCAGAGCACACCATTATTTATTGCCCAGTGGCTTTCAAATGTTCTTCTCAGTAAACAATGAAATCAGCAGAAGGAATCTGGATTTTAAAATGCCTTTTGCAAGAACAACACTCAAACAAATGTCCATTTCATGTTCAAATATATTACAATCTAAGTTTAAATGTAAACAAAAAATGATCAAATCCTATGTTAAATGAAGAGAGAAATAGTATTGTATTTGTATACAATACTATTTTGACATGAAACCATCTATGTTGGTTGTCTTACTGTCATAAGATTGGGGTAGGGGTTTAAAAAAGACTTGGTCTTCATCCTACTCCTGTCCGTTATGTGACTGTAATGTTATATAAGAACGAGAAAAAAAAAGAGCCGTAGTTGCTGTAATACAACTGGACGATTGTATCTAGTACACATTTTTTATGAAATGCCCTGTTCCAGCCAGGATTTAAGTGTGTTAACCACTTGCCACCTAGCTTAACAAACCACCATATATATATATATATATATATATATAGTTTTATATATATATATATATATATATATATATATATATATATATATATATATATATATTTTATATATAAATATATAAAAACTCACAGTGACATCATTCCAACCTTTATCCCAGTGTCCCCTTAAGCCCAAAATAGTGAGTGTGACGCAAACATTACTGAGCTAGAGAAGTTTACTTTTACATGGAAGTCAATAAAAATCATTTAGAGGAGCCAAACTCATGGCCAAACTTCACCACTCCTGTATTGGGTTTCAATGAGCTAGCAGGTTAGCATTGAGCATGTGGGATAGCATTGAGCTAGCGGGTTATGTTCCAAGCTGGAGCTTTAATATGAAATAAAACGATCACAATGTACAGGAGGAAATCTTTAATTGCATGAACCAATTTCCTATTCTGTGACTTCCTGTTACTTACATGGCAATAAAAATTATTCGGATTCTGATGATTGTGATTCTGATCAACTATGAACGCTCAGTTGAAACGCACTCCTGTGATTGGTTAGGCGTTACACAGATTGCTATGACAGCAGGTCCATTCTGGTCGATCACAGTTCTTCAGCACGGTGCAGCCTTTCTCCCCTGATCCTGTAGACCACATACAAACTTTGTGTAGTAGTAATAATAGTAGTAGCAGTAGCAGCTGTAGTTGCAGTAGTAGTAGCAGCAGAAGCAGCAGCAGTAGCAGTATTGTGAAAAAGGAGGAGGGAGTCTTCACATTAATGATCGCCTCCTCTGGTAGAAGAGCAGCTATACTAAATCATCTGGAGATGTGAGAACAAAGTAGGGTCCACTGTATGGGTCCACTGTATGGGTCCACTCTAGGGTCCACTCTAGGGTCCACTCTAGGGTCTGAGAATGCTGTGGGAGGCAAACCTACCTACACAGTTTGAATATTAAATATAGTGGCACACTGGCACAGAGGTTTTTTTTATCGTCTTTAAACTAAATCTATATAAACTGAGGAGGGCTCAGGGGCCTGATAGAAGTGTCTAAAGGGCCAGATCTGACCCACGGGCCGGGGTTTGCTCACCACTGAGCTCGAGTTTACCATGAGGCACAGCTCTTTAACCACTCGATATATGGGATAAAAAAGGCTAGGACAATCGCAGTAGCAGTAGCCTCAGTGGTAGTAGTAGTAGTAGAAGTAGCAGTAGCAGCAGCAGCAGCAGCAGTAGTTCCAGCAGTAGCCGTAGCTGCAGTAGTAGTAGCAGAGTAGCCTCAGTATTAGTAGTAGCAGTAGTTTTAGTATCAGTAGCAGTAGCAGCAGAAGTAGTGGTAGCAATAGCCGCAGTAGTAGCAGTACCTCTGGAGTAACAGGCCTGGGGTTCAGGACCTGAACATTTCAGGATCATGTTGTTCACAAGGAGAAAATCTTCTCCATAACATTCGATGTAGTTCTGCCCTGATGGTATAAGTATAAATACTTTTACTGCATATGTCAGAGTATAACTGAGCATATACAGTAAGTACCACATATTACAGTACTTTGTGTACATAAGCACTGCATGTTCAAGTACTAGAACAAAAGTACTGCATGCTTAAGTACTATGTATAGAAGTACTGCATGTATAAGAACTGTGTGTACCTGAGCACAGCGGCAGCAGGAGCAGCAGTAGAATCAGGTGATTTTTCATCTTGACAAAAAGTGTCTGAACTGAGGGGGGTGAGACTTTATAGAGAAGGGGGAGAAAGGTGAGGGAGGAGCTGAGAGCTGCGAGGGAGGAACAGAGAGGGAGAAAGAGGAGAGGGTCACATTGATTTCAGAGCAAATACTGATATCTCCAAACCCAGATGTGTCCAAACATCAGTGTCATCCAGCTCTGCCAACACTGTAAACTGAGACACAGGACTAGTTTAAAGTTTAACACAACAGTGTGACCTATGACCTCTGCAGAACTCCACCTCATTGAAGCACAGGGAAGTGCTCATGGTGAAGTTTGGCTCCTCGATATTGTCTTTGTGAATCCAGTTTTTGAGCCCTTTTTGAGACCTTTAGGATCTCTTATAACACTTTATAAGTGATTTTGGTTGAATCTAAGTTCGTCATTCTAACAATGATGCAGTGATCATTGGAAAATGATTGGTCTTCAGTCCCTGAAATCTGCTTCAGCAGCGAATTGCACTGCTCCTGATTGGCTCTTTTGTTATACTTGGTTAAAGCAAACACATGCACAGCGAAAGACTGATACGTTTTCAAATGACACATTCTGTATAATACAGTGGTGCATTCTGTGAAATAGGGGGTGCACTAATTGACTCTTCTTAATTTTACTTTGTTTTTTTTACTATAGGTGGGTAGAGTCTATTTCATCTGGTACTCTGATAGAGTTTTTTTGGGGTCATTTTACTGTGTAGCTGTTGCTACCCACAAATATGGCTCCATATTCCCAACCATGGAGCTTTGAGAGTCAGCTCTAATCCTCATGTGTCTGTGAGTCAGCTCTAATCCTCATGTGTCTGTGAGTCAGATCTAATCCTCATGTGTCTTTGAGAGTCAGCTCTAATCCTCATGTGTCTGTGAGTCAGCTCTAATCCTCATGTGTTTGTGAGTCAGATCTAATCCTCATGTGTCTTTGAGAGTCAGCTCTAATCCTCATGTGCCTGTGAGAGTCAGCTCTAATCCTCATGTGTCTGTGAGAGTCAGCTCTAATCCTCATGTGTCTTTGAGAGTCAGCGCTAATCCTCATGTGTCCGTGAGTCAGCTCTAATCCTCATGTGTCTGTGAGAGTCAGCTCTAATCCTCATGTGCCCGTGAGAGTCAGATCTAATCCTCATGTGTCTGTGAGTCGGCTCTAATCCTCATGTGCCCGTGAGAGTCAGCTCTAATCCTCATCTGTCTGTGAGTCAGCTCTAATCCTCATCTGTCTGTGAGTCAGCTCTAATCCTCATGTGTCTTTGAGAGTCAGCTCTAATCCTCATGTGTCTGCGAGTCAGCTCTAATCCTCATGTGTCTGTGAGAGTCAGCTCTAATCCTCATCTGCCCGTGAGAGTCAGCTCTAATCCTCATGTGTCTGTGAGTCAGCTCTAATCCTCATGTGCCCGTGAGAGTCAGCTCTAATCCTCATATGTCTGTGAGTCAGCTCTAATCCTCATGTGTCTGTGAGTCAGCTCTAATCCTCATGTGTCTTTGAGAGTCAGCGCTAATCCTCATGTGTCTTTGAGAGTCAGCTCTAATCCTCATGTGTCTGTGAGTCAGCTCTTATCCTTATGTGTCTGTGAGAGTCAGCTCTAATCCTCATGTGTCTGTGAGTCAGCTATAATCCTCATGTGTCTGTGAGAGTCAGCTCTAATCCTCATGTGTCTGTGAGTCAGCTCTAATCCTCATATGTCTGTGAGTCAGCTCTAATCCTCATGTGTCTGTGAGTCAGCTCTAATCCTCATGTGTCTTTGAGAGTCAGCGCTAATCCTCATGTGTCTTTGAGAGTCAGCGCTAATCCTCATGTGTCTTTGAGAGTCAGCTCTAATCCTAATGTGTCTGTGAGTCAGCTCTAATCCTTATGTGTCTGTGAGAGTCAGCTCTAATCCTCATGTGTCTGTGAGTCAGCTATAATCCTCATGTGTCTGTGAGAGTCAGCTCTAATCCTCATGTGTCTTTGAGAGTCAGCTCTAATCCTCATGTGCCTGTGAGTCAGCTCTAATCCTCATGTGTCTGAGAGTCAGCTCTAATCCTCATGTGTCTGTGAGTCAGCTCTAATCCTCATGTGTCTGTGAGAGTCAGCTCTAATCCTCATGTGTCTTTGAGAGTCAGCTCTAATCCTCATGTGCCTGTGAGTCAGCTCTAATCCTCATGTGTCTTTGAGAGTCAGTGCTAATCCTCATGTGTCTTTGAGAGTCAGCTCTAATCCTCATGTGTCTGAGTCAGCTCTAATCCTTATGTGTCTGTGAGAGTCAGCTCTAATCCTCATGTGTCTGTGAGTCAGCTATAATCCTCATGTGTCTGTGAGAGTCAGCTCTAATCCTCATGTGTCTTTGAGAGTCAGCTATAATCCTCATGTGTCTGTGAGAGTCAGCTCTAATCCTCATGTGTCTTTGAGAGTCAGCTCTAATCCTCATGTGCCTGTGAGTCAGCTCTAATCCTCATGTGTCTGAGAGTCAGCTCTAATCCTCATGTGTCTGTGAGTCAGCTCTAATCCTCATGTGTCTGTAAGAGTCATCTCTAATCCTCATGTGTCTTTGAGAGTCAGCTCTAATCCTCATGTGCCTGTGAGTCAGCTCTAATCCTCATGTGTCTGAGAGTCAGCTCTAATCCTCATGTGTCTTTGAGAGTCAGTTCTAATCTTCATGTGTCTGAGAGTCAGCTCTAATCCTCATGTGTCTTTGAGAGTCAGTTCTAATCTTCATGTGTCTGAGAGTCAGCTCTAATCCTCATGTGTCTGTGAGTCAGCTCTAATCCTCATGTGTCTGAGAGTCAGCTCTAATCCTCATGATGTGAAACTAGCGACAGAAGCAACTGTTTTAGAGCCAGAACAGACGTGGTTTTAAAATATAGAGTTCTATTGGAGTTGTGTGCCCTCAGCCTGAGGAGTCATTTTATGCCTCTTTGGGGCTGTGTCATCACACAGTTCCAGTTTGTGTAACTTGCGTTTACTGAGAATTCTGTTGTTGTGTTACTTTGATCACTGTTGTGCGACATGTTTGTTCAGTTTGTGTCAACAAACTTCAGACCAGAGACGGACGTCCAAAGGTGTGTGTGTGTGTGTGTGTAACAGTGTGGGTTCAATGTGCACTTGTTTTCAACTCCTGGTGGGGTCTATAACTTGAGATTTCACGTGGTGGGGCCCGAACCCCAGACCCCACTGGTCCAAGTTCCAGCTTGGATCCCGCTCCCCCCGCCTCCCTCTGATCTCTCCCTCCCCTCCACTCCTCAATGTGTTTACGACTCACCCCCTCCCTGACCCCGCCCCCCTCTGACAGCCACATTGGACCGGCAGCCGGAGGTGCTCATCCCGAGAAAAAAATCCGTGGTTTATACAAAGCACAATGTTTTCTATCCAACTGTCTGTTGTAACCTGAATGTTATTGCTCTCTGCTGTTTATTCTACTGTTTGTCGCATGGCGCCGGAAAGATGGCGCCGTGGCAAGAGCTCTGGTGTGTGTCGCCTTCTCTGTCTGGCGCACACCGGGGTAGTCTTGCACAGTTTTTCCAATGTGGTTTTACTGCAAATGGCAAATAAATGAATCTGAATCTGAATCTGAAGTTTAAAAATCAATGGGTAACGCTTTTCCAACGGTCCTTATGCAGTCTCTGCAAACACATGGAAAGGACCTCTGGAGGTTTACTTTCCTGAAAAAGTGTTATCCTGTTGGTGGCATGCGGGAGATTTCAGGCCAAACTAGGTGCAGGCGCATCCAATCATGGAGCAGCACTCTAAAGGGCACATTTACAAACCTGTAGGTAAACCCATGGATCTATAATAATAACTATACAGTCTATGGGTAAACCCCAGGTAGGCTGTGACTAGAGCAGCCCCATGAAGCATTGACGGATGCAGCCTATTCGGCACATGGTTCGAAGGCTCGAGGTGATTCATGCTCCACTACGCCATCATGTGACAAAATATATATATAACACTCTTAAGTGCTTACAATGAATGGTGTAGTCAGATTAATATTCACTGGAAAGAACAGCAGTTCTTCACTTATGTAAATATCACGAATGCACCTTATTCATTTACCTTTTAAACTTCACATTGCACTGTACACATATTTTAGCACACTGATTTGAAATAGATTGCAGACAATTGTTGGTTTTAAATTATCTATTAAAAACGTATTATTTATCCCTTTTGTATTTTAATTTTGTATTAACTCCCCCTTCTGTGTAAATTACTTTAAATAGGTTATTCTTTTCTTGTTATTTCCTTGTCATTATTAGTATTTTTATTAGTAGTCAGATCTATCATTGTCATTCTTGCAGTGTTTCGTTTTGTTTTTTATTATTAGGCCGAGCCAATACGAAGTATTGGGGAGGCCTATTGTTATTCACCGGTTTCATATTATTCTTTTTTTTCCGCATCTTCAATTCGAACGGTTTCATATTATTCTTTTTTTTCCGCATCTTCAATTCGATTTTTGACCCTGAAGACATGCACGAAAGTCTGCACATGGGGGGTCTAAAACGACCGGTCCGGCGAAAAATTTGATAAAATGAACGTTTCCAGATTGTCCGACGCTCGCCGACTCTATAACGCCCCCTAGAAATTTCATTTTTTTTGACCCTCTGGGGATTTTTTTTCATATTTTGGAGTAGGTACACGAAATTCGGATGAGTGATAGATCTCTATGAGACGAGCATAAAAGCCGTTCTAAGCACATGTCTGGGACCGACAGGAAGTCGGCCATGAGGGGCCGAAGTTTCGCCACTAATTTGACTTTTCATTTATAAATTCGAACTAGTCCCTGGTTTTTCATCACACAGAGTTCTACCACGTCATTTCCCGCTCTGGACGGATTGAAGTTATATAATCATCGAAAAAAAGTTAGAAAATCTGCACCGTTTTCGTCCCTCGCCATGGCGAATAAGGCCTTCGTTTTGGCCATTTTCGCTGAGCCCTGAGGGCCACAGGCTCAGACCTACAGAGCTGAGACTCACATCAGTAATATTAGGTTATGGCCTGAACGCAATGACACTAAA